CACTACTATACGCTAGCTCTCGTAGAAGCAGCTAAACTAGGCATTACTATACGCTAGCTCTCGTAGAAGCAGCTAAACTAGGCTAGCTCTCGCAGAAGTAGCTAAACTAGGCATTATACGCTAGCTCTCGTAGAAGCAGCTAAACTAGGCACTACTACACGCTAGCTCTCGCAGAAGCAGCTAAACTAGGCTAGCTCTCGTAGAAGCAGCTAAACTAGGCATTATACGCCTACTCTCGTAGAAGTAGCTAAACTAGGCTAGCTCTTGTAGAAGCAGCTTAACTAGGCCTACACTCGTAGAAGCAACGCGATCGAGCGTAGTATTACGGCTTACTTTTCCGGGGATAGGACAAGGACTTAGCGAGCTTATAAGGATATAATAGAAGGGTAGTAAGGAAGGACCTTATTAAATGCTAATTCTAGCGCTAATTCTAGTGCTATCTCTAGCGCTAATTCTAGTGCTAATTCTAGTGCTAATTCTAGTGCTATTTCACCGCTAATTGCAGCGCTATCTCTAGTGCTAGTGCTAATTCTAGCGCTAATTCTAATGCTAGCGCCAATCTCTACTACCTACTCGGCAGATACTAGGACAGGATATCGTCGTTAACTCTACTACTACGGCTGCTCGCTATACTTAAGCTCCTCGTACGCGCGCCCTCGCTATATAGACCCTTAGTAGCCTAAGTAATACGAATATTGCGACTACTACGACGACTAATATAAGCTTGTATTAACTACTTAGTTGCTTCTTCTACGGTAATATCGTACTCCTTGTCGACGGCCGGATTAGTAGAAGCAGAAGAAGAAGCAGATTAGGCTTAGCTAGGGTCTAGTTAAGCACTATAACGACGACGCTTCCTAGCGGGTAGTGCGTTACTATTAGAAGGACTAGCAGCATCGTTGCTATTAGATAGAGGGTTAGATAGTGCCGCGGTAGCAGTCGTCTACTAAGCCTACTAAGCCTGCTAAGCCTGCTAAGCCTGCTAAGCCTACTAAGCAAGACTGTTTTATATACTAGACTAGCGGATAGTGTTCGTAAAGGCAGAGCGTCTTAGGGACTAGTTTAGGTCGCGTAGGTCTGCCTCTATTTCCTCTCGGGTCCTAGGTGCTACTAGCCGTAGTTCGGACGAGCTACCTTTACCTCCTATAGTCTAGTTATAATGCTCTGTAATAGCAGCCGCTATATCTTCCTTAGCCTTCTTTATAGCCTCCTCTTTCGCCTTCTGTTCGGATTTATATGCTTCCTAATTAGTATATACCTGCTTAGTAATACTAATAATAATAGCTAGCAATTCTTCGAGGTTATCCTTATATTACTAATTATTTAGTTCTAGTGCGACCTATAATAGCCTATCTGTGCTAAGATTCAGATCCTCCTAGGCATCGTATAACCGAGTAAGTAGGAAGACCTCCGATACAGACTATATTAGTCTGTCCTTTATATATATACTAGCTAGTATACGGAACAAGCGGTTCTTACGCGGGTATAGGGTATCGACCTTCTCCGAGCACTACTTCTTAATGTATTTAAGTATACAGCTAGGTCTCGTGCCTTTGCCTAGTAGATTAACCGGCTTAATACGCTTTACCGGTAGCCCGGGCAGCTCGGCTATTAGGTTAGTATTATAGATATTACAATAGTCCTTTAGATCTAGCTAGCCTAGTAGGTATAGAAACTAAGTTAAATGCTCTCCGTAGTGCTCGTTTATTACTACGCGAAAGTAGCGACTAGGGATCTTAAGGTAATCGTTTAGGGCACCTAAGAAGATCTTTGGAATCTTCTTTCGGCTCTCTAACTTAGACGTATTCTAAGTATTGCTCTCCTTAGATTTGCCTTTACAACGGGGCGCATTATCTCTAGTATCTGTCTTAGTATCGCTATATATATTATCCTAATTACTCGCGCCGCCGATATCCTCGCTAGGAAGCTCTTATCGCAGTCTGCTAGGTCCGGCAGCGCGTATACGACTACGACTACGACTACGACTACTGCCTCTGCCTCTGCCTCTACCTCTACTACGACTACGACTACGACTACGACTACGATCGCTAGCCTACGACTGTATCTATATTAGTAGAAGAATAGAAAGCATACTAGCGCCTTCTAGCATTCGCTTAATATAATCTCCGGTATAGTATAGTACAAAGAAGAACGCCCGAGGCCGATAGAAGTATAGTATATCGAAGAATCCCTCCGAGTATAAGAGAGCTAGTCGTCGAGCAATGCGGCTAAGTCGCTATTAAAGGTTACTAGTATTACGAGTAATGTTAAACTTCTATTAGTATATATCCGCGATGTCTAGCATATCTAGACCGATACTAGCGGTAGTAGTTGCTGCTATATAGCGAATGTTAGAGTCTAGCTTATAATACTTATTATACCGATTATCCTAGTCTAGCTTAGGTACCTTTATAGTATAGAAGGAGATAGTACGGTAGACATTAATACTAGGACCTGCGCCGTACTAATATCTCTTAGTATAGTCCGGATTGTCCTTAGTTAAATATAGCAACTAGCTACGAGCGATATCGACGAAGTTAGCGATATACTTATAGCTATCGATAAATACTAAGGACTTGCGTATGTTCTATAGTGTTACTAATCCCTTCGTAACCTCCTTCTCTTCTCTATTAGGAATTAGCGGATAGGATACGGCATTATCGATTACTATATATAGTATATCGTAATCGGTTAGATACTCCCTCGGAATAAACTTAATAATATATATAATTTCCGGGCGATCGATACTGCTACGGATAATCTTAGTCTCGTACGGATTAAGTCCCTCTTTACGTATACTAGTATACTTTATCGCATACTTAGTATACTCTTTATCTATAGTAGCCGAGGTTAATAGAGTACTAGTATCGATATGCAAGCGATCGCGCAATTAACCGACCTACGAGTATTTATCGCAGAAGCTAGAAGGTTTACCCTAGTTATAGATTAGATATGCCTTATCGATAACAACTAGGCCGACCTTCTCTCGTATATACCCGTCGTTTAGTAGCGAGAGAAATTGCGGTAATACTACCTATTCTAGGCTAAGCAGAATATGCTAGAGCTTACTATTAAGGATGTTCTTAAATATGCCTAGGTCGATTTTCTTAGTTTTAGTAGAGATATATACTAAGTAGACTAGACTACTAGTGTTACTAGCTATACGCTCGATTGCTGCTACTTGTTCGGCGCCTAAGCGGTTTAATAGCACTACTTAGATAGTAATTATACTAGTTAGCATTATAAAGCCCTAGAATAGCAGACTCTTTCCCTCGCCTATACGAGTAATAAATAGGACATTATTCTAGCTATAGATAAGTGCGTATATTACTATCTTCTACGCTAGTATAGGAACGAATGCTAAACTAGGGTACTTAAAGTCGAGGAGTTTCGTTAAGCCCTTCTCGATAATTTCCGCCTAGTACTAAATAGTCTCCTTAAATTAGCCTACTTACTATACTAACTCTTAAATACGCGCAAGGGATGTCTCTAGATCTATAGTCTTCTCGATACGCCGCTTAAAGTACCGCGCCTATTCCGACTTTAGTTAAGGTAGCTTTATCGGAGGGATACCGAAGTCTAGACGTACGTATATAATAGCGGAGCGACCTAGTAGTAGTACTTAATATAGTTCTTAACGCTCGAGTTACTGCTTCTTCTAGCGCGCGGCCTTCTCGGCTAGGCGCTACTTACGGCGGGCTTTATCGCTAGCTATACTAGATACTAGATACTAGATACTAGATACTAGATACTAGATACTAGATACTAGATACTAGATACTAGATACTAGATGCTAGATACTAGATACTAGATGCTAGATGCTAGATACTAGATAGACCTCGAGTCGAACTTGTTAATTAGCGGCCTCGAATAGTTTAGATAGCTTTCTCTAGCGGCGGTAAGGTCTAAATTAGACTATCGATTTAGCGTACTTTAATAGGCGGCGGAGCTTGTAGAATACTTAAAGTTTGTAACTACGTATTAGGTTTATCGAGATTAGGATATAGGTTAAAGATATTAGAAGCTAAAGGGTTAGTTTGCCCTACTAAGTCGAGGCGAGTATACGACTAAATTATATAGTAAATAGACACGTAGAGGTTATAGAGGGCACTAGAAAGGTAGACCCCCTATACTTTATTAACGTAGAAGGGCGTCGTTTGTTTGCTTATAAAGTATATAGGGGTAGGTAAACGAGTTAGTCGAGAGTAGTAATTTACGTTTATCGATAATAACTTTAGTATTTCTAAAGCGACTAGCTTATTAAAATAGCGGATATTCTTAATCGCTAAATTATCTAGGTCCCGTCTCTATAAAGTACTATACTGCGACTAATAGTTATTAAGCTATATAGCCTATTCGATATAAAATATAGTAGTAGTAACGCAACCTGCACCTGCTAGCAACGGTTTGGCTTTAGGCGCTTCGCTAGAATAAGATCTCGAATGGCGCTAAACCTAATATAGTATAGTATAGAAATGGAAGTCACGAGCAGCACACACACGAATTCAACCACGAAGCGCCTGAATGGAGGTAGATCTCGCCAAGATCCTTTGCGGTCTCCCTTGGGGAACCTTCCAGACGCTTACCACGACATATGCTTCCGAGGTCTGCCCCGTAGCACTTCGCCCTTACCTCACCACCTACGTCAACCTATGCTGGATGCTTGGACAGTTCCTCTCTTCAGCTGTCTTGAAAGGTGTCAGCGGCAAAACGGGCGAGATCGGCTTCAGGCTGCCGTATGGTCTTCAGTGGATTTGGCCAGTGCCCTTGATCATCGGCATCGCGCTGGCTCCTGAGAGTCCATGATAAGTGGGAAGAATAGTCGCAATTTCCCTCAATCACTAATGCATTTTGGTAGGTGGCTCGTCCGAAAAGGTCGCAACGAAGACGCGAAGAAGCAACTATTGCGCCTCACTTCCCGCAACCAAGTCGATTTCGACCCAGATGCCACGATATCCATGATGAGTTACACGAATGAGCTGGAGAAGGAACATCTCTCTGGTGCCAGCTATCTGGACTGCTTTAAGGGTGTGAATCTCCGTCGCACGGAAATCGTAACATTCGTCTGGGCCATTCAAACCTTCTGCGGCGCAAGCTCCATGATTGGCTTCTCGACCTACTTCTTCACTCAAGCTAGTCTGGACACTTCACACGCATTCTCCATGTCCCTTGGCCTGTACGCTCTCGGTGCCGTTGGTACCCTGTCCTCGTGGTTCCTCATGGGCTGGTTCGGCCGCCGCACCTTGTACTTCTGGGGCCTGATCGGCATTTCTCTGGTCCTCATTCTAATCGGAGGCCTGGGTGTCTCGAAATCATCTGGCGCGCAATGGGGAATAGCAGCCATGACGCTGATTTACACCTTCGTATACGACGCGACTGTAGGCCCTGTGTGCTACTCGCTCGTCGCCGAGCTCCCTTCGACCCGTCTTCGCAACAAGACTGTGGTTCTTGCAAGGAATCTATACAACGTTACTGGAATCATCGCCAACATCCTCACACCGCACATGCTCAACCCTGACTCGTGGAATTGGGGCGCCAAGGCGGGTTTCTTTTGGGGAGGTGCCTGCGCTTTGTGCGCGCTTTGGTGCTTTTTCAGATTACCAGAGCACGTCTACCTCGCTCTTCTGCTTATGCTCTCGCGTTCGATACTGACTGTGCCCTAGACCCAAGGGCTGTACATACGCCGAGCTCGATGTCCTTTTTCCAGGCCAAGGTTTCAGCAAGAAGCTTCAAGACGACTGACGTGGTGGCACTTGGTGGATTCGCATCTGAAAACGGCCCGGGAAACGAGAAGTCCTCTATGGATAAAGGCGCAGTACAACATGGAGTTGAAGCTGTAGACACCGAAAAAGTGGAGCGCGTGTAGAAAGAAGCACAAGAGCAGAATCTTGAGATCGTAGTTGAAGCGTATACAATGAATGAGACAGTTTGATCGCATCGCATCGCATACTGTTGCGGAGTTCGCGCCTTCTCGCATTCGCTGCTCCTTCCACAGAATCCTAAACTCCGTACCAAGAGATCGCATTCTAGGCAGGCGCGTGAATTCGTAGTCGCCCCGAAGGACATACCTGTCGCATTTGGCCTCTAGCATCAACTTATACGCACGGGAACAGAGTACATGTACACCACATATATATCTAATCAGATCCCACCTTCCCATCTCCAACGACACGACGTCCTTCAGGTTCCGCAATCATTCAGTACCACCTGAAAACCTGGAACAAGTCCGTCAACATCGAATTACTCCTCATCGTCATCAACTCGACCTGACACTTCCAAGATCTCGAAATTCAACTCCCGCCGCGCCTTTATTCAACAACTACGACCGACCATCAACATGCCTCAAAATCCCACCACCATCCTACTCCCAAAATCTCTTTCGCCGAAGAAACAAGAACCCGTCGTCACCGACAGACGCATTTCGAAGCGAAAATTCCAAGCTCGTGTCAAGAAAGTATGGCATTGTGTTGCGGGTGATGATGGAGAGGCTGAGGCTGAGGTGGATGTTTGGCAGGTGATCGTGAAGAGGAATGGGAATGGGATGATGAATGGGAGGTCGGTCTGATGGAAATATGGAGGTAGAGGATGGGATGGTAGGGATTGGGATGGGTTGGGATGGGTTGGGTTACCTAGGTCTAATGCCACGCACTGAATATGGCTTTACGTTCCTGAACGGCAGTTTGGAGGATAGATGCTCGATGAGAGGTAGGTGTTTTGAAGTATGAAATGTGCTTGGTTCAGGTCCTGAAGACGGTTGAATGAGGGTGACTCTTTTCCTAGAAGGCTGTGGTGACCTTTGTATGTCGCCTCGAGCGACGTAGACGCTCTAATAGGGCTACCATGTGTGAAGCCTTTCTTGAAGTTGAGGCCTTGTAGTTGTAGTTTGGGGTCGCTCTCTTCCGAGGAGTTTGCTTTCTCTATGGCCACGGTCCCAATCCTTCACATCAATGTCTGTGTCCATAATAGAGCGCTAGACACCATTCGCTTGCTGGACATTCGCGTAGATAGATAAGGTAGACTGAGCTGAACTTGACTGGACGGCGGTGTCTCAGCAGCAGCTCACCAGTGCTGAAGGATACGAATGCGGGAGAGTCCCAACGAGGTCGTCCATGTCGTCTGTGCAGGCATTGCTGCTACATCTGAGGGCGCGATAGCTGATGAACTAGCACAATACAGACTACAGCTGTTCAGACCAAAGACGGATCTGAAAGCTGCGAATGCCTGATTTGCGCTCCCATCGTGGCGTTCATCGGGACTAATGAAGTGTGAATATACATACTCCCGACGTCCTCGCGGTGCGAGATGCAACAGAAGTAAGTGCGAAATTGAACTTGAAGAGTGAGCACGCCATCAAAGTTCTGTTCAAAATTTCATGGAACGGGTTTTCGAGGCCGTGTCGAACAACGTCACCTCCAGCCCACACCTTCACGATCCTCATCTCGTTGCACGAGTCGTGGTCTACGCCGATCATATCATGCCGAAATAACACGCATCAAAGCTGCGACCAACCCTGCGGCAGCAATCTTCCCCAGCAACCAGCGATGGCAGAGGATTGTCCCTGTTCACAACGGCATCCCGATGCCAGCAGCAATGAACCAGAAATCTAAGCTCATCTCTCTTCGATCAACACCAGCAAAACCTGTGCCGTTAAGACCAGGGTGCCACATTGTAGCCGAAACGTCGTCAGACCAGATGCTTTCATCATTTGAAGGGTCCGGAAATGACGTTCACAGCCACAATGCTGAAGACAAATCGCTTGAAATGGCTGGACATGCGTAGCATCTGCGAGGCCAGTGATTTACACACACTTCATCTGGACTGAATTAGAAGAGGACTGCGAAGAGACACTAGACTAAAATCGAAAGAATGGGCCTCATCGACAAGATTCGATCCAGGCTCGAAACACGCCGCCTCGAGCAGCGGTACGCACGAAGAGACAAGAGACGAACGTCCGTTCCGAACATCCAGTATGTCGACGGGGAGTACGTTTTGAGCGATCTGTCAAGCAGCGGGCGCGATTTGAATCCAACAGCGAACAAGGCAAGGCGTACGTACAAATGATACGATGTTGTCTTCGTACCTTAGCCTGACCAGTACGATAGGTAGAAGTCTTGCTCCACGACCACGACGAGCTTCTTTAGCATATGGTGGAGATGGCATTATGCCCGATTTTGTTGAAGAGAGTGCCCCTCGGCCCAAGGCTCGAAACAGGGAAAGCGTGGTATTGAGATATATGGCGGAGCCAGAAGAGGAGACATACGCCTATCGAAGACAATCGTACCGTCCTCCACCGCGTACGAGAAACAGTGCGGTGCTGAGAAATATGGACTACCTGCCTGGGGAGGAGACCCGGTCGAGAAGGCAACCAAGGAACCGAGAGAGCATTGTCTTGGGCAATATGCTCGTTGAAGATCACCCTCCTTCGCAACGAACACGGCCACCTCCGCGCAATAGAGACAGCATTGTGATGCGAGGCATGGCGGAATGGACGGACTTCTGAGCCGCGTGGCCTACGGGAAAGTTGCCGCTGGCCGGGTTCTTTCCCATTGACGTGTCGTTCTTCAACTCTGGCTATAGCCGGAAGCGCAATCGCTACGAATACAGCTATGAATGGTCGTCCAAGGTGTTTCCACACCGTTTTATCGACATATAATTTTACCGAGCGACTTCGACTTCTTTCAACATCGCGACTACTTACAATAATCTCGCACTCTATACTACGCATGGATTACGATATTGACAGCTATCTAAACTAGAAAACACACAACTTTGATGGCTTTTCAGGCCGCTCATGCACCTAGCAGTACCTTATCGGCCGCAGTTCTGCAGAAGATTATCTCAGCTTTGCTCATAGTGCGATCATCGCAAACTATGGCGTTCCTCATTCCACAATATATACCGGGTAACATTCCTCACGCCTGTAACATCCTTTCTTGAGCGATGTGAAGGCGATCTGAGCAGCACCAAACCAGAGAGTGATTTCGAGATCATCTGCTCACGTCAGCTGGCACTGAACTCAGCTGCAATTTCGAAGGCTTAGTGAGCTCAAGAGCAGGTTGGCGGTAAAGCTTGACGCCGTGCTGCGTGGATCCAGTCCCGACATGATAATTCTGAGCAACCGCAGCCTCCTGTAAACCGCAAGTGCGGGACTAAAGTAACTCAGCTGTCACGAGGCTGCCAAGCAGAATCATATCCAAGCAATGCGTGTTCTTGCAACACCTTTCCAACTCTCTAGCTACCTCGACTCTCCCTCGATAATTCGCTGATCGAGATGATCGTTGTCGACAGCTCGAAACACCGCATGAGGCACAGCGTTCTGTACCGTGCGAAGTGGCTCGGTACGTATTTCGCCACGACAAGTAATCGACCTCCGATAGCTGCAAGCATGCACAGGCCTCAACAAACAAGTCGAAATACCTCTGCCCACGTCGTGCTTCTATCTCTACTTGGGTGATCATTGGAGAGCTCTGCTTTGCAATTCCTTCGAGCGTTCACGCCGTGTAACTTGAATGCGGAGTCAGAGCTTGATCTGCAGCTACATTGCTGACGTAGCATATGCACAGTTGCCTTGTCTTGAGGGTCACAGCCAAGACCGATCTCGAGACGCATTTCGTTGGGAGTCTCGATTACCTGGATAGATATACTCTCGTACCTCATCGTCGAGGTTAGAAAACTTTGCAGAGCTGCCACAGGGCCTCAGTTTCAGCAGCGAATATGGACGGCAGTCAGCAGATCAGTATCATGCTGCCATTTGGAATATGCTTCGGCCTTCTCGCCGGCACGATCGCCTCATTGGTCTTCGTGATCGGATTGGTAGTCGGTGGTCTTTCAACGGCAATGTATCTCGTTCGCTTCAAAAACTGGATGGGGACGAAGCCTGGTCCTAAAGGTAAATTTCATCTTTATTGGATTTACATCAGTATGCTGAACTTACCCAAGACGAAAGAAACAAGAAATCCAAGAAAGGAAGCAACGATGCGATCGATTCTCCTCCCATACCATTACCGCCAGCAACAACAAATGGTCATGAGCCGAATCCTCCTTCCAGCCCTTTTCGTCCATGGGCGAGACCTGTTCTGCGAGAGACCGACGATGGCAGCGGATTGAAACCATACCCAAACATGTGCGGTACTACTCTTAGGCCTCCTTCTCCCAGATTATACGGAGACCCATTTGCGGGCATGGGCTTGCCAAGACCACGACCAAAGAAGAAGAAGAAGCAGGAAGGCTGCACGTGGTTTCCAGACGATCCTGAACCCGCAACAGGGGATGCAGGAATTCCGAAGACACCTGATGAGAATGAGATGTTCGATCCTTTTTACAACCTTGGTAGAGGGCCCACTTTCAAACCTCGTGGACCTCTCGGCGCGACTAAGTTCGCTGACGTGGAAACTTATCCTCCTCCGTCTGATGGTATCAAGCACTTTACCGAGCGTCCTCCTCTTTCTGCTCCACCACCACCACAGCCTAAGGACAGCTTCATGCACAACCCCTTCGCAGACATGAAGCCCCCACCGGCTGCATCTCCGATATCAGATATCCTCGATACCTTCGACTTCGACGCTTTGGATAAAATGGATCGGAAGAAGTCAATCGTATCTTCCACATCAGACCGAGAGGAACGCTGTTGCTACTGTGACAAGAAAAACAATAAAACGACCGCTAAACAAGACGACGACTCTCCCACCACAACTTCATCAAAGCCATCCTCAGTAACCGACGACGACAAAGACCTAGAAATCTTACAGGCACCACGTGCAGTTCCCAAAATCAAAATTTTGCCAGAGCTAGGTAACTTATCCGCCTCCGAGTTGAACGAGCTCTGCACGCCACCCAGCACGGCTTCGCCAGAGAGCGTGGTGGCTGGTGAGAAAAGTTTTGATCGGGAGAAGCTTATGTGAGTTCTCACAAGTTCATTCTACTGTATAGCTCTGATATACCTTATGCTGATGGGCGACGAAATGTAGAAGGGATATCCTCAAAACGCTTCAGCAGGCTTTGTTATGGGGTGGGCAGGAGCGTTGAATGAGTGGAAACTTATCTCTGGGAAACGGTTCAAACATTAGCGAAAATTTGAGGCTGCAGTGGCAGAACCTAAGACGGTTTGTCGAAATGCTAGTCAGTGAAGCGTACCTTATCCAGACATTGGGGAATGAGTTTACCCGGATTTTTGATTTGCAGCAGGAAGGGAAATGGAAATAGGGCTAAAATGATTAGACGGAAAAGGCATGCCCCGGGTTGGTCCTCTGGGTTAAGGTATATGGCGAGCAATGGCATCTGACTGATGATAGCCTGAAAATAATCTGAAAAACTCCTAGCAAGTTTTGAAAGCCGTCTACATGAATTGCATCCCGACTATGACGGGAGGAATTGGTCGTGAGGATAAGGTATGTTGCGCTTCTATTCCGACTACTTTGTTTCCAAGAACCCTCCTTCTCTATCGATCCGACTCGTCTCGCGGACGCTGGGAACCGATCGAGTTGTGGATGAAATATGATACCTTTTTCCAAGCACACTCGAGTCGTCGACTGGATTCTGCCTGGCGTGCAGCCGACAAATAAGGTGGTACATGTGGCGATGGTCAGCATTGTCACTGTACGTGGCGGCAAGCTGGTATACGAGCATTTGTACTGGGACCAGACTTCGGATTTTTTGCAGGTTGGTTGCTTGATCCGAAGCTGGTACCTGAACGCTTTGCCGAGCAGTGGTCTGAAGAGACTACCGGTGCATGGGTCCGAGATGGCTAGTAATATTCTGGACGAAGAGTCACAGCCGAGCAGTGACTTGATTGCGGAGTGGAGGCAGAAGCAATCCAGGCCGCAGAGGAGGCAGAATCGATCGCTCCCTCAGAGACCGAAGCAGGCAGCGGCGACCAACGGCAAGCAGGCGACATAGCATGGCCGAGCTGTGTTCAACCGATGAATTTGCAAGTCGGCAGACGGTACTCAGGCACTTCCCAGTAGCTGCGTCGAATGCCACCCCACGATGAGCCAGGCTTGTTGTTATGGACCAGGTCGGGCACCTGGAGGATAGTCCATTCGACATCGAGACCAGCATCGAAGAGCTCAATCTCGACCACTTTGGTGTAGACATCATAGCAGACTTGACGATCAGCGCCAAGACCGTTATAGAAACCAAACTTGCCGTTGCTATCGAGCAGCTGAATGACGTACTCGCTGAAGAGCTCCTTGAGGTCCTTGTAGTCCTCGGCATAGGTGTCATAGTAGATAGCGTCAAGCACAAGACCTTGCTCAATCAGCTTGGGCAGCACTTCTTGCCACTTGCCTTCATGGACTGTGACATTCGGCTTGTCGTACCAGCCAGTCTTGCGCATCTGCTGCATGACTTCGGGGTGTGCCTCGATGATGTGATGCATCTCTGGCTCATTGTTGACAAACATGGTGTCGACGATGCCCATGCCATGGCCAATATTCATCGTTCTGAGTCCCTTCTTTGGGCAGAGCTGGTCTGCCGATAGCTTCATGATCTCCGTCTCCCAGTCCATCATGACCGCATTCTTGTCAGAGTCCAAGAGTCGACCTTCCGAGTAGGTCAGCTTTGATGCGAGGTAGGCATCGCTATCAACGTTAGGGTTGCTAAGCGTTGGGTGCTCTTCTGAAGCGGCAGCTCCTGGGGTGGTGTCCGTTTGGCCGGTCTCGTCGGCCTTGTATGACGGATTTGGTGCTGGCTCGAAGCCGGAAAAGCCTAGGCTCTCACTGTTGGCATGGCCATTGGTAGTACCGTTGGCAGCGTTCTGCTGTGCGACGTCTCCGCCGCTTGGCATCGGGTCGAAGCCGTCAATGGCATCGTCGTCATGGTCGTCATCGTCTTGCCCACCGTCGGGGAGGGGCAGGTACTCGTCCAGTCGATTGAAGAGCAGCTCTGCTCGCACACCAGCGGCAACACAGGCGTCGTAGATCTTCTTCAGCCCCAGCCTGAGAGCAAGGCAGCCCGGCGTCTCATCGTTCTTGTCTAGCTCATTCCATATCGCGCCATTCTCGAACAGCAACTGGATCGTCGCCAACGCCGAGTCCTCGCTCAGAGCATTGCCATGCACAGCATCTCCTTCCTGGTTGGTCTCCTCCGAAGGCGCCTCAGCGTCTGGCTCGCAGGCAGCAATGGCAGCGTGCAACGGCGAGAAGCCCGTCTCCGGGTCTTGTATTCTCGCCGAGCCCGTCCGCAGCAGCTTTTTCAGAGCTTCGAGATCGTGGTTGGTGGCCGCCAAGAGGATTTCGTCGCTGGTCGTGTCCGTGTCGATGTGCATACTAGAAGTGGGATCTTGAGCCTCGGCCATTATTGTGTCGCTGCTGGTCGCGGTGGCAGTCGCGTATCTGGCAGAAGGAACGTGTGCGTCGCGAATCGATGTATTATTAAAGTCGCGGTGCATCCGCGTCTGCACAGCTGCTGCCAAAAAATTCCCGCCAGCGGCTCCCCGCCATTCTGGACCCTGAATTCTGGACCCTGCAAGTCCGATCACCGATCACCGACCACCTCGCACCGACCAGACTCCCTCCTGTCGCCTTCATCGCACCCAACAACATCCTTCCCTCCAGCATCGTGGACATCGCAGCTTGCCGAAGGAGCCCGTCGACCGAACACTTCCGTCTCGTTCCTCCATCGCTTCATATGTATTTGCCCTCGATCATCAGCCACTGCAATCCTAGACCATTGACAGTCCGACACGCAAGATTAGCCGACAAACTCCTGATGCTATACCATCGCCGAAAGCAACACGAATCAACTTCAGAAGCATGATATTTCTGTCTCGCACTACCTGAACCATCGCCTGACGCTGCCTAGTATGCAGTTAACCTCCTCCCTAATTAGGTCCACGAGCTAAGTAAGGACGGGAGCCGATGAATATGGGAAGCTCGTACAGTCAGGCAGAGTGACCGCACTGACCGCTCCGGCCCGAGGCATGTGAGTATTCAAATACCTGTGAGTGAATGCATGGGGGACGACAGCCACTGCTATGGTGTCTCTCTCACCTATATCAGGCAAGGACACTCTCATACGCCATTGGATCAAGACTGCGCCGCGGAAACAGTTCCATGGAGCAGTACAAGCTGTCATTGTATATAAGCGAGCAGCACTGACATGCTACTGCGGAGCCCTTTGCGATAGAAGAGCATGCCATGATAGAGCGACCAGGAGACAGGTGCTTGCCAAATAGCTAGACCAAGTTCTAGACATAAGTCATGCCCGCATGCGCGTGAACGGGCTCGAGCAATGTATTTCTGGCCACTCCATCGTCGATGTCCCTTATTCAGTGTAGTCTCCTTCTCATGTTAAGGTTCTGCATTTCCCTGGCTCTTTCCTGTCATTTGTTGTTGTTTCTGGCACGGAATTGAGATGATTCATTTTGGTCCACATCCGCAGACTTCTGCGCTCTGAAGAATTCGAGGGTGAATCGATATCGGTGTGCCGGCTTTTGATTGTGTACGAATTCGTCGTGGAGGAGTCTCCTACCGTAGGAATTGCGAACAAAGTTTCCTGCAAGCCAGCCACCGAACTCTGCGATCAACCTCACCTCTTCATCATCAACACAGCAAACAATACCATCCAGGCCGAACCTAAAGAGATTTCACGAACACTGCAGTCCTTACAGCATTCGATCGGAATGCAGAGGACGACGCTCGTCAGATCCAATGGCTGAAGCGGAATGCCAACCGCGACAAGGATTGAAACTTGGCCTGGACATCCCAGCAATTGGGCACGAACGCGCGCCACACTTGGAACCTCGCCTTTGACGCAACATGACGTTCATTCTTCCGTGTTACACGAAAGTAACATTGTTGCGAAACCTCGTGACGATGATATTCTCGCCAGATATTGACCCAGAGGGATCAACGTAAACCTGGATATCGGTGCCAATTTCTCATCGCCTAACCCTCTCTCTTAGTTTCTTGCTTTCCACTTCTTCCAGGACACCAGTACAATATGTCGAAGCTTAATGAATTGAAGAAACAGCAGGCTGACCTCCAAGGTACGTCGACAACGAGCTATCTGTGGCGCGGCCTGCCCGTCGCAGCTGGAGCTGCAGCTTTGGGCTACTACTATTTGAGTATGTTGTCTGGTCGTGCGATTCAAGTGCGCAGAAACGGTCTTGTGGCGTGCCAAAGCTGTGGCTCTCCTGTGTGAATCACTACTATGAGACTTTCAAAGAGCCGCTTAGGGCACCAGGCTGATAATGCTCGAAAGATGGTATGAACAAGATCAGCATGGTATACAGGGAGCTACCAAAGAAGCCACCACCCAAGACGACTCCAGCGAAGGCACCGGCAAAGGCCACAGCACCAGTTAAAGCACCATCTCAGCCCGCAAAGCAGCCTGCCACATCTACACCAGCTAAAAAGCCAGCCACGACACCAGCGAAGCCCGCTGTCGGATCTACGCCTGTGAAAAAGCCTATGCCTGCTGCGTCAAAGACTATAGCGAATGATGAGGCTCCTACGCCTAAAAAGACACCCGTAAAGACACCCGTGAAAACGCCGGCGAAGACGCCTGCGAAACCTGTAGCGAAGACTTCGGCTACAGGAAATGCATCCCCGGCTCCCATCAAGAAGCCACTGCCTCCAGCAGTCAGTCCCCAGAATACTGCAAATCAAGCGACTGCAGGCGCGAAATCACCAAGCATAGCTTCGAGCAAAGCGCAATCAGTGACGGGAGGCACTTCGACGCCAGCAAGGCGAAAACCTATTCCACCTGCTGTGTTGCCCCAGACCAAAAAGACTCCAGCGAAACCCGCTCCGAATACAGCAGAGAAAACGGTGGGAGGGGTAACGAATACCGCACAGAAAGCCACCGGTGCAGCGACAGGCACAGTACAGAAGACAGCGAACACCGGTGTAGGAGCGACAAACAAAATCGTAGACACAGCCGGAAGTGGAGTCAACTCAGGCCTTGGTGCCGCTACAGGTACGTCCAACGACCTACCCATGCGTATGGACTTCAGCGGGCAAGACCCGAGCTTCATAGAGAGATGTCTCCCATCGTGGCTCACAAGTCGATGGAAAGCCGCAGATGAAGCATCACGAAAACGCTGATATTTGCGATCAGGCACTCTTGACAAAGCTTCTGGTGGTCGCGCGGCACCAGTCACTAAGAAAGTCAGTCAGCTCGGCACAGGCGCTACGAAGACTGTCAGCGATGCAACGAGGAATGTAGGACAGACTGGGACGAATACTGTGGGAAATGTGAAGAAGACGGGAGATGATGCTGTGAGCAATCTAAGTCAGACTGTTACGAATACTGGAGGGGCGATTGGGAGGAAGGATTTGCCTGGGGTTGGAAAAGCTGTTGCGAAAGGTGAGGGGAAATCACAGATTAAAAGTTCTGATCGCAAGCCACTGACTAGAATGGAATCAGGCACCGGTAAAACCGTGTCCGGAGTTGGTCAAGGTGTCGGAGGCACTGTCAAGGGCGTCGGCTATGGAGTTGACGGCACGCTTAGCGGCGTTGGTAAAGGAGTCAATGCTACCATTGGCGGACCAGTCGGTAATGCTGTGAGCAACACGACTGGCGGTCTCGGGAAGACAGTAAGTGGGACTACATCTGGACTCGGGTCGACAATTGGGGACACAACTTCAGGTATCGGCAACTACGATATCAGCAAGACCGTTGGCGGCGCCACGGGAGGCGTTGGGAAAACAGTCGGCGGAGCGGGAGCTGGTCTCGGTAAGACTGTAGAAGGAGCAGGCAAGAGTACTGTGGGCTATGTTCCAGGGCGAGTGGGAGGGACTCTGGAAGGTGTTACGACTGGACTGGGAGGTACTGTGACCGAAGCTACCGGTAAAATACATACAATTGCATATGCTTGGTAAGAGATAGCTAACGCATGCTAGGTGGGATCGGCGAAGGCGTGGGAAAACTAGGCAAAGGCGATGTCATTGGCTCAGTTGGCTCGATTGGAGGCGGTGTTGCAAAGGGTGTCGGGTCTCTTGGAAGTGGCGTCTGGTCTGGCGTCAGTGGTAAGAATAGGCAAAAGCAGAAGCCTGCTGAGGTGGTCGAGGAGACGACGGACGATGCTCAAGACGAGGCTGAAGAGAAGGTCGATGAAGCTCAGCAGGAATCTGTTGCTGGCAAGAACAGTTTCTTTTGATGAAAGACACGCTCTGGAACGGCGTGCGTATGAGCAGACGGCGACTATGATCGACTCAAAACTCGCGAGGGCCCAGATACGTTGTAGTGCGTGCACTATTTTTGATTCTGCTTACTCATAATTTGATGCGGCTCTGTGTGAATCTCGATTGAAATTCACCCCGCTGCCCATGACGAAAGGCAGACGCGTTTGCCTCGTGCTGTGCCGTGCCTGAAGCTCGACTTCTCCTACACCAACCATTCTTTTGTGCTTTATTACATTGCACGACTTCGATATCATGGCGTCGTGTCCTCATACAGAGTCGATACGAGCTCCGCGCCCAAACGAATCAGTCTACCGCGAAGACTGCACCCTCTGCTTCGACAGCATCGACGACCCCGCTGGTCTCGATGTTTGCCTTCACTGCTTCAACGGCGGTTGTGCTGGTGAGCGACAACACTCCGCCTTGCATGCCAAGCAATTCGATCATCCTATCGCAGTCAACATACAACGAACCCGCAAGCGAAAGCTACGAGACGACAATGAGCCACCAGAGAAGATCAGCAAGCTAGAGATCAAGGCTGAGACGGAAGAAGATCGCTATGATACCAAGACTGAAGTGAAGTGCTTCCAGTGCAATGTCAGCGATCTTGTCAAGGACGGCAAAGTTGGCGAGGTGGTTCAGAGCGTGTTGAAGGCCAATACCTTCTCCCAGCAAGAAGAGGTCAAGGCGTGGGAGCTGGAGCTACAGCCTTGCCAACACACTTACTTGCTAGACCAGGAACCTTCTCGGCAGATTCCGAGTGGAGATCTTGGTCACTGCAACAAGTGTGATCTCAAAGAGAACCTGTGGTTATGCCTGACGTGTGGCAATCTGGGTTGCGGAAGAAAGCAGTACGGCGGCGCTGGACCTGCTGGAAATGGTCATCAGCTCGAGCACGCAACAGAAACCAAGCACCCTGTAGCAGTCAAGCTAGGCAGTCTCACTGCGGAAGGCAACGCCGACATCTACTGCTATGCTTGCGACGACGAGAAGCAAGATCCCAAGCTACCAGAACACTTGCTTCACTGGGGCATCAACATCAAGGACAGAGTGAAGACGGAGAAGAGCTTGATTGAGGCACAACTAGAACACAACCTGAGCTACGACTTCTCCATGACAGATGCAGAGGGCAGACAACTGAAGCCACTATTTGGTGCTGGCCTAACAGGCTTGAAGAATCTGGGCAACAGCTGCTACCTCGCTTCGGTCTTGCAGGCACTCTTCGCAAATCCAGAATTCGAGAAGAGATATTACAGGCCTGCCGAGGACTTGCCCAAGATTACAAACCCAGCCGAAGACATCGAAGTTCAGTTGCGGAAGCTGGCAGATGGACTGCTCTCTGGCAGGTACAGCAAGCCAGATTCCGACATTGCTCCCTCCGACGACCCCGACCAGAAGCCGCACCAGAAGGGCATAGCACCAGCCATGCTGAAGGATCTCATTGGTAAAGGTCACGCCGAGTTCAGCACCATGCGACAGCAAGATTCATTCGAGCTCCTGCTTCACATCCTCAAGCTCATCTCAAGATCTCAAGCTTCTGCTCAGGGCGATTACAAGGACGTGTCAGATCCCGTCGACTCCTTCCGCTTCTACATGGAACAGAAGCTGCAGTGCTTACAGTGCAAGAAAGTCCGATACCGACAAGACGAGATGGAGAACATTTCCGTTGCCGTGCCGATCAAGAAACTGCCGAAATCGGAGGACACCGCCATGAGCAATGGTGCTGCTCAGGATGGCAAAACAGAAGATGAAAAAGAGCAATTCGAGGCCGTCACTCTCAAGCAGTGCCTGGATGACTTTACCGCTGCTGAGATCGTTGAGTTGACGTGCTCAGGCTGTGGTAATAAGGGCTTCTCCAAGCAATCCTTGTTCAAGACCTTCCCAACAGTGTTAGCAGTCAACGCCCGTCGCTTCGAGCTCGTCAACTGGGTACCCACAAAACAAGATGTTCCAGTCATCGTTGGTGACGAAGTATTCGATATGGAGGCCTATCGCAGCAAGGGCAAGCAGGCGGACGAAGAGGAGCTACCCGAAGAACAAGATGCTGCTGGTGGAGCGAGCAATAAATTCGTGCCGAATGAGATGGCATTAGAGATGCTGATGGGCATGGGCTTTCCACGTGTGCGTTGCGAGAAAGCACTCAAAGCTACCGGAAACTCAGATGCGGAGGTCGCTACTGGCTGGCTCTTTGAACACATGGAAGATCCCGACATTGACGTACCACTTGAGGAGCCTGCCGCTGCTGGAGGAAGTTCTGCCGTGGATCCTGACATGATCGAGACCCTTGGCGGAATGGGCTTCTCTGCTCCTCAGGCTCGGCAAGCTTTGAAGGAGACCGGCGGCGACATGGAGCGCGCCGTTGACTGGCTCTTCTCACATCCGGAGGCGACTGGCGACTTTGGCGAAGATGAGTCGGCAACGAACGGCGCTGCCACTGATACCAAGGTCATCGAGGACAACAAGCCTGCACTGTTCTCCCTGAAGAGTATCGTCTGCCACAAGGGTAGCAGCATTCATGCGGGTCATTACGTGGCGTTCATCAAGAAGAAGGAGGGCTGGGTTCTTTTCAACGATGAGAAGGTTTGTTTGGGAGGTGATGTCGATGAGATGAAAAAGTTTGCCTACATCTACTTCTTCCGCCGCGAGGCATAGAGTCTTGTTGAGCCAGTGCTCCGAGATCTGTCGATTAGCGAGGTGTTTGGTGGTAGTAGTGGTTGACGAAGGGTGAGAGCTAGATACAGAGCATGAGTATGAGATGAGATGGTATGATAGATGAGATCGAGGACTCAGTTGCGGTCATCAAGACATCTCGAGCTCCGAGGGTCAACGCGCTAAGTCTGCTGACGCTTGCTTAGCTCTCGATTGGCGATGTCCAGTTCCAGAGTTATGGACGATAAATGAACAATCTCGCGCCCTGAATAGAATTGATGAATGAAAAGGCGCGCTTTCCACGCCCAATTGAACGGCAGCTGCCTCACTTCTAACTTCTAATCGCAGAACCTCACTTGCAGCATCTGGACTTCGAGCACAAAAGCGACGCCTCCTGGTCCGACACTTCTATTCCGTTGACACTGCACACCACACCACACCACCGACACATCGGTCAACAACAATCGAACGTTGATCGCAAGCATGGCTGCAGCTACCGCAGTCTTTGGCACAGCTGAGCTGTCGGAGATGATCTTGCTTCACCTTCCAATGCGAGATCTGCTGCGTGTCCAGCGAGTCGACAAGGACATCAATGCGGTCATCAGCGGCTCGAAGGCTTTGCGACGCAAGCTCTTCTTTGAGAGTGCTCCGGGCGGGCCGCTGACGCATTTCTTGAATCGTAATGGGACTATCTCCAGCTACAGTTCCGGCGAGCGGGCCATTTATAAGAAGCGTGTGCGCAATCTGCCCGAAGGCATGGAAGAGGCAATGAAGTTCGATGAGATGTGGCACAAAGGCAAAGACGCGCCAGGTGTGCCAGTGCCAGTCGAACTGAATCCTGTCTTCGCGTATGCCATGCGGGAAGTTGAGAGAGCGATGATGGCTGGCAACTTCACTCAAGCCTCTTTGCCGTCCTCCTGGCGTAGGCCCGAGGCTTCCTGGCGTCGGATGAAGATGACACAGCCTTCTACAGAATTCACGCTATTCATCCAATACTGGAGCGTTCGTGTTTCTAAGACCGTTGCAACGCTTCCCGTGCGTCCTGATACAGATCTGGGCCAGCTTGTGGACACGATATATGAGCGGCCATACATCGACAGCATCAAAAAATCGGTCAAATCATTCATCAAGAGGAAAACTTTGCGGGACATTCATTTCGTACCGGCGTTTTCTTACCTATGGGACTTGGCCAGATGGAAGAGCTAGAGGGACGAAACGGGACTCTGGAAAACAAATCAACTCGGACTCATCAACACCAGACAAGGCTCAACGAGCACCCGCAGACTGTAATTGGCATCGAGAGCACAGGCGAGGATACTGCATATGTCACCAAGGCTCGACGAAAAGGCTTGGGCGCGATCTTATCGAGAATGGGCGGTAGAAAGAAGCGAACTGCAAAAAAGGCAGTAAAAAAATACGAGCCCAAAAGTCAGATCATATCAAGCCACAATAACCTACTACATGTACTGCATCCAAAGATTCAGACCCTCCCTCAATTTTTTTTTTTCAAACCCCTCCCCTTAACCCTCCCCTCACACAACTCCTTCCAACCATTTCGGAAAATCCTCCAATTTCCCACTCTCTACCTGAGGTTTCAAATCCCCCTTTCGCAATGAGCTCTAATAAAACCTCTCTCAAATCTTGAATTTTGTCCCCCATAAGAGAATAAAAAATACTTAAATCTTTTCCCGGATTACCGGTTTTTCATTTTGGATGGAAGTCGAGGCGGAGAGGGTTCGTTCCTACACAGATGAAGTTTTTTTTTCGGCGGGGGCGGACTAAATAGAAGAAATCCAATCCACAAAACGTCAGGATTTTCTATCTTTTTTTTTTATCACAGACATATTTTTTTTTTAAACAAGAAAACAAATCTCACCAATATCAACCGCATGCATCCCCAACCGTCTGTTGTCCCGTCCCGTCCCCACAATCGTATCAATCCTCCCCATCAAATTTTTTTTCCCCCTTTCACCCACTCCAACATCATCCACAACCACAACCGCCCCGAAAGCAACAACAGCAGCAGCATCCAGTCTCTCTCTTGCCGACCGAAGATCTGAAAACGATCACTCGAGCCCCGATCGCTTTGCAGAGTTGCATTCCATTCCATTAATTTGAATCCTAATAAACCTCCGAGGCCGAAAATTGAAGATTGTTTCCTTCGGCGCGCCGGACGATGGCGTGGTAGGCGTCGGTTGAGATTGCGGCGAGGGGAGGAGGGGGGCGGGGTAGGGGTGTTGTTAGTGGGGAAGACAAGGGAGAGAGAGAGAGAGAGAGAGGGTTTTGTAAGATTACCTTTTGGGACGAGCGTTGGTCGATGGGGCGAAGAAGCCGTGTTGACCTACGCCGGAGTGGTGGAGTTGGGGGAGGTCGCGAGAGCATTCTGGAAAGGTTTGTTCTCCGCAGCCGGGTACTGCGACCATGGCGATGATGTCGCGCTATGATGTGTTTTAGTTTTCTCTGAGAGGGGATCATCATGGATGTGCACGTGGCTCAGGTGTACGTACCACTTTGAAGCTTTGATCTGTGACTTTGTCTCCGATGGCGAAGATTTCGCCGCAACCTTCGTGTCCCTAATATATATCAATCTCCTTAGTGGTGCAGCGTTTTGAGCATGGTGTTGATGGTAATACAAAGGTGAACTTTTCTCGAAACCATGGCCTTCTTGGAGATCTATCAACGATCATTGCTTCGTCTGAATGACAGACTCCGGCGGCGAGCATTATTTTGCACAGGAAGCCGGTAGGTGGGACACTGGGGACGGGTATTTCTGCTTGCGTTAGTTTCAAGTGCACAGAGAGAGAGAGAGTGCTGAAAGGAAATGGGCTTATTACAGCTTCGTCAATACCTCTATGCTTTCGCCAAGCGAACATGGTGGCCGGTAAGGCTGAGGCCATGATGAATACGGCTGGGAGGACTTTGATGATCAGGCTGAGAATAATAGGATCCACCGATGCTATGGATACAGCGCGTATTAAAAGGAGACTTTGCGTACCTGCAAGTGCAAGTGCGGAGAAGCTTGACCCACTTGGCAAAGGCTGTTACTGGTTATGCCGAGGGCTGCGAGCTCGGAAGAGAAGCATGGGTAAAGAAGTAAGCTTGAGATGTGTCAAATTCATGGCCTACTCTATACAAACGCCACGTCATCCGTCAAAACGAATTCCGTTCCTTGAAGCTCACTGAACCAGTCTTGTAAATCCAATAGCGATGAATCTGGCAGCATAGCTTTCAGGCCGAATTCATTATTGTTTTTGAATGCGATCAAGATCGAAGCCAGTCTGCTGGTGTCTCGTGTCACGAAGCCGAAATATGACATCCAATCCAAAGAGCCCGGCGTGTATAGTGTTTCTGTTGGACTTTGAGCATAAGCAGCACCGTTGATAGACATGAGCGCCTCGGCGGCTTGCGTCGGAACGGAGCCGTCGCTGCTGCCTTCTCTCGCGGCTGCTTTGCGCAGGCGATCGAAGCCGTTATAGATGACAGTCGCCGAAGCCCACATATTGCACAGCTGCTTGCACAGAAGCACGACAATTTCGAGGTCGGCATTGGCGGCTTCTGAAAGTGCTGGATCTTGAGATGCCGAAAGCAGAGCGACAAAGGTGACACCGCAGTACCAGCTGGTAATAGCCATCAGGAATCGTGTGTCGCCCCTAGCCAGGATGTCACGAAAGATGCGTGCCACGCATGTCGCAGCCATGATGGCCGGTGGTAGTGCTTGGGGTAAGGCATTCGACCCGTATGGGCGTTTGAGATGTAGCACAATCACTGTGCAGAGGTATGGTAGATAAAGCTGGTGTACATCTTTGTTGAACATATGCGTGTGGCTGGCGTCGATTGGTAATACTAGATGGGGCGGTAAAGATTTGCTCCAGGTGATCAGCTCATCGGCAAGAACTCTGGGAAAGGGCGAGGTCACTTTGGGCGTTCTTGAAAGATGTTGTGCGGTTCTCCCGATGGTGGCGCAAAGTCTCACCCAGTATATGAACACTTCAGCTTTGACTCGGTCTGCATCGATCATCTTGGCAGGGAAGTCATTCAGAGTCGGATCTGGCACGCTGCAGTCCCGTGAATCGATGATTGCTGGCTTGCTCTGACAGAGTGCCGTCAGCCTCTCCCTCGCGAAGGCAGTCCACCAGATGCGTCGTCTCAAACCAAGGTCATCAGGCGGTGCGTGCATGGGCGGCGGATCGCGGTGCAGGTTCATCCACTGCGCCTGTCGAATGACAAGAGAAGTCCACCACCACGATGAGTGACGATGTACGGCGGCTGTAGATCTTGGTGCCCACCAGTAGAACAATAGAAGAGCCTTCAAACAGCTGATCAGATTGGGTTCCTCGTCGTCGTAGAACATTCTCCGGGCGCGTTTGTAGTATTCGACGGGGCCATCATGAGGCAGCATGGGAGGGTGAAGGTGACTTGCGGCCAGTGCCAGTGCATTCGACACGAGAGGCGATGCTCCTAGACTGCGATATATGCTGAGCCGGTCGAGGACAGGACACCATGCATAGCAATTTTCAAAGTACGTCTCGGAGAAGATTGGCAATAGATCTGGTGGGATGGCATTGCTGGGAGAATCTATGATGCGTTCCACCTCGGATAGACATTGATTGCGAGCATCATTGTGTAGTTCTTGGCCATAGACTTGCATCAAGCCTGCGTCAATTATTAATGGTCAGCCCATGCCGATCAGGAGAAATGAGGTCACGTGGATGCATGGTCGAGCAGTGCAAGCACCTACCTGTGTCGGGATCGCCGGGATGGTTCTCATTCACGACGACGCGCTCGCGCTCACGGTCCTGCGGTGGTGTAGTCTTCGTCGGTGAATGCTGGAGCGAAGGACGTTGCTGCTGACGCCGAAGCACATCCGGCGCGGCTGTAGCATCAGCACGTGTAGCATCAGCATTCCGTGCGGTCGCTGCCGCTGGTGGAGGCTTGTGATGCCGGTGCTCGACCGCTTGACCGTCGCTAAGGAAGTCGCGGCTGCCTCCAGTGTCTCTGCGTTTGGCGCGCTTGGGCGTGCGCAGTTCACACTCTCTGCCCGAGCCGCTGCAGTACGAACAGCTGTGCAGTCCATCGTTCTTTCGGCTCTGGAGGTCACATCGGATCTTCTTCCGATGGCACAGCTGGAGCGCGAGTCAGCATCACTACAGCCTACGCTCCGCACACGTGCCGATGACTACTGACCGTGCAGACCAGCGCCGCTCTGCGTTTCCGAGGCTGATCCGGCGTGGAGTGCTGCCAATTGTCTGAGATTGGCATGCTCTGCTCGGCGAACGTCTGGCGCGACGCAATGCCACAAAACGGCGATGCCGATGGCCCGACTATAATAGCAGCATCAGGACTTAGCACTCAGGAGGCAAACGCAAAGAGGGGTTTCCCGTTTCCGGCAGAACTGCTGCCGCTCGTTGCCGATGCCGATGCCGATGCCGATGCCGATGCCGATGCCGATGACGTTGCCGCGGTACTGCCGAAACAGGGGACGACACACACGAAGTCAGGTGATCACGCGCCCGCAGCTGGCACAACATCAGCACAGCTTCGTGCAATCAACCACTATGCCTTCGACTGGAGAGCAAGCAAAGCTGGCCATTCCTCCTGGTGACCTGGCCGTTATAGTCAAGCTCATCAATGCCGTCAATTTTGGTCCATCTATCATTTCCCGCTTCATGGCACCTCCACTACCAGGCCTAGACACGTTTCCATCAAATCCATCCCACAGCTTTCTTCTAGAACATCCGTCAGGTCGGAAGCTAGTATGGGATTTGGGCATCCGGAAAGACTACACTAATTACTCGCCGAGCATTGCTGCATACATTCCAACAACGAAGTACACCATACATGTGACGAAGAATGTTAGCGATATCCTGGTAGAGAACGGCGTAGCGTTGGAAGGTATCGAGGCAGTGATTTGGAGCCACTGGCATTGGGATCATATTGGCGATCCATCTACTTTCCCTCCCACTACGGATCTGATAGTGGGGCCAGGATTCAAAGACGCCATGATGCCTGGTGCTCCAGCAAATCCAAACAGTCCGCTCCTGGAGAGCGATTACTCTGGCCGCACATTGCGAGAGATTGTGTTCGAAAAGGGGGCCAGTACACGGATTGGACAGTTTCCGGCCTTCGACTATTTTGGTGACGGCTCGTTCTTTCTTCTAGACAGTCCAGGCCATGCCGTTGGACACTTGTGCGGTCTAGCCAGAACAACAACCACTCCGGAATCCTTCGTCCTGCTCGGCGGCGACATCTGTCACTATGCGGGAGTGCTGCGGCCCTCGAAGCTGATGTCTCTGCCAGCAGACATCCGACCAAATCCGCTACATCCAGAAAGCGAGCTTCCTCTATGCCCTGGCCATTCTTTCGAACAATTGCAAAAATCTAGAGCTCGCACACCCAATGACTCTCTGTACGATCCGATTTTCGGCCATGATATCCCACTTGCAATCAAGACAGTTCAGAAGCTTCAAGAGCTCGACTGTGATGAGCGTATCTTCGTCATCATCGCCCACGATCCCAATGTGAGAGATCTTGTCGACCACTTCCCGAGGGATCTCAACGCTTGGAAGGAAAAAGATTGGGGTGCCAAGGCGAGATGGGCTTTCCTTCGCGATCTCAGAAGGTACTGGGAAGAGCAAGGGATAAGTTGAGGGCTGACAGAAATCTTATTCCTTTGCCATGCATCTCTGGGGGCATCGGAAGTGTAAACCTGAACGGGTTTGGAATCAGTACCTGCATCGGGCACTGATCAATCACGATCATCTTGAGCAGCGAAAAAACCTTTTGCTTCCAGAAAGCGTTTTCTTGCCAAAGAACTTTCGCCATGAATTTGGCAAGCATCGGACGAAGAGATTGCTTTTTCTGCTCGGAGATGGTTTCTACTTATACTTTTGGAGAGCCTCGCCATCGAGCCACTGATCCTTTATGACCCTGAGCTGGACCTCTTGCGTGTTCTTGAAATACCCATCCTGATCGAAGTCATCAAGATCAACATCCATATATCCCTCTCGAGCGACCGCCCTGGGCACTATCATGATTGAACGTCCTGTCATGGGGTCAGCATGCTATGTACGCCGCGTAAGTGAAACCTTCGCGATACTGCTCACCGTTGACAGATCTGTCAGTCGCGATCCGCATCATACAGCTTGCCACATCTTCCACCTCGCCGAAACGAACACCTTGGTCAACTAGGCTCTTCTCGTATTCTGCTGTGCGGATGGCGCTCCGGATGTAGCATGGAGCTACGAAGTTGATCCGCATGCCTTGCTGCCAGCTGTTCCTGCGCACAGTTTTCATAAAGCCCAGGAGACCAGTCTTGGAGACAGTATACTCCCAATTGCCCGGAGAATCGATGTAAGCCACCATGCTTCCTGTCATGATGAAGCATCGATCATGGTCTTCGTCATTTGGCTGCTTGCGGAAGTAATGCGTTGCTAGCTTGAATCCGTAAAGTGTGCCGTTGAGATTCGTCTCGACGATCTTGAGATCAGGCTTGGACGGCGGACCATTCGGATCATCGAGCTTCCACAGACTGTCAATGCTGCTCCTCGATATTCCAGCATTGGCAATGACAATGTCAAGTCTACGCCCTCCAGCTGTGGCCTTTTCGAAGAGCGCAACCTGCGATTCCCACGATCGAATGTCGCAGGCGACGAATTGAGCTTTCCCAGGACCACCCTTGGCATTGATGTCTGCTTCAACTTCGCCGCCTTTCTCAGCATTGACATCGCAGAATGTTACCAACGAGCCTGCAGCGACGAAATGCCGAACAATTGATTCGCCGATCCCATTTGCACCCCCTGTGACAATCACCCCTTTACCCGCTAACTTTGTCTTGTCAACTGGTATGGTATGGTCGATGGGCCCAGAGTATGAGTATTTCTGTACGCTGGGCATTTTCGTCTTTGCTTTTGTTGTTGATCTGAATGTGATACTGATATCTTCAGGGCGGACCACACGATTTGCGAAATGCGCTGTTACTGGCCCGAAACTGTGAGCAAGATACTAATGAAACCCAGTAACACTCTTACTCCTTCAACAAGACCTTGTACCTAGACCTCCGATGCCTCGTGCCAAGCTAGCAGCTTCAGCTGACGCTCGGCTCCGCTCCATGTTTGGGTTCATTACCGGACGATGCCGGTGTCGCCGAATCCTGACTCCCCGCCGGCAATGCTCATTGGTAATGCGGAGTTGGATTCCAGAATGGCTAGCAGATGACAGGGTGGCACCATGGAATCGCAGAGCGCTCCCAACAGTCATCAAGAAAGCGCAAGAGGATTAGTTTCCTCATCTATTCAATCGACTGCTGATTACGAGTTTTGGCAAAAGTTGTCGTAGCCGAGAAATCGCTGAGTGTTTGCGATCATTCCATACCTTATTATCACTTCAGCCTTGATTAAGCTTAAACTAGTCGAGAGACTTCGCAGACTAGTTTGAACCATGGGAAGCATAGGAGAGCCACCGACCGAGCTTGATTATGAGGTCCTAGTCATTGGAGCAGGTTTATCTGGCATCTTCACATTGTATCGTATGCAACAGTTTGGTATCAAAACTATTGCACTAGAAGCTGCATCAGGAGAGGGCGGAACATGGTTCTGGTATGGTCATTCTCGCATGAACACATCTCGCCGCTAATGACGAACGCTAGGAATCGATACCCAGGCGTACAATTCGATTCAGAGAGTGTCAGCTATGGATTTTCAGAGATGTCGCAAGAAGTGCTGGACGAATGGAACTGGACGGAGACATTCGCTCATGGAGACGAGACATTGCGATACGCCCAATTTCTCACAGATAAATTTAACCTCCGACAGTACATGCAGTTCAACACTAGAGTAAAGTCTGCTCGATGGCGAGAAGAATCGAATTCTTGGCTAGTGACAGACCAGTCAGGAAGGACGTACAGGTATCATTATTGCATTATTGTGTAAGAGCTTTTGTTGTCGATGCTGATCGAACGCCAGCACACGATTCATCATCACGGCACTAGGTATCTTGAACGAGCCAACCCTGCCCAATATCCCCGGAATAGAGGACTACCGCGGCGAAGCATTCCACACATCGCGATGGCCTCGTGAATGGACGTTCAAAGACAAGCGTGTCGGGATCATCGGCACTGGTGCAACTGCAATTCAGATCATCCAAGAAATCGTAAAGCCACAGTACGGCATGAAGTCGTTAACAGTCTTCCAACGAACGCCGAATTGGTCTGCGCCACTCCGCAATGAGCCTATCTCGTCGGACGAGATGAAGGTCTACAGAGACAAATATCCAGAAATCTTCGACCAATGTTCGAAATCATACGCCGGATTCCTGCATGTTGCCGATACTCGCAAGACATTAGAAGTACCAGAAGACGAGGTAAAGTTTTCTTCCGATCTTCCTTTGAGAATATAATTCACGAGGCTGACTCGTGCGTTGCAGCGACTGGCCTTCTGGGAACAGCTCTACGCAAAACCAGGCTTCGCCAAATGGCTTGGCAATTTCGCAGACATCAACACCGATCGCGACGCAAACGCAGCATTCAGCGCCTTCATTGCGCAAAAGATTCGTGCACGAGTGCACGACCCCGTCACAGCCGAGAAATTGATCCCCAAAACCCACGGCTTCGGCACAAGAAGAGTCCCGCTGGAGACCCATTACTTCGAAGCCTACAACCAAGAAAATGTCCGCCTCGTCGACGTCGCGCACGAAGCCCCAATCCAACGCATCACGCACACCGGGATTCTGCTCCAAAGCGGCGAACACATCGACCTCGACGCCCTCATCTACGCCACGGGCTTCGACGCCGTCACAGGCCCCATGACCGCCATCGAATGGCAAGGCGTGCACAACACCCAACTCCCCGAAATCTGGTCCCAAGGCCCACGAACCTATCTCGGCCTCTTCGTCCACCGCCTCCCCAACATGATGATGATCCTCGGCCCCCACCAAGCGTTCGGGAACATCCCACGCTCGATCCAATTCGCGGGGACGTGGGTTTCGGAATTCGTGCGGTTTTGCAAGGAACGACATCTTACGCGTGTGGAGTGTCGGGCGGAGAAGGTGGAGGAGTGGACGCAACATGTTTGGGATTGTGCGAAGGGGTTGTTGATGAATGAGGTGGATTCTTGGATGACGGGGGTGAATAGGAATGTCAAGGGGAAGCAGAAGAGGATTGTGGCTAGGTATAGTGGTTCGGGACCCGGGTATCGGAGGAGGTGTTTGGATGTTGCGGAGAATGGGTATCGGGATTTGGATTTGGAGTGAGATGGGTGTGGTTGATGAGGGATGATTTCGGTGTTATGTCGTGATGGATTGGTTTCGAATGATTGTTTCTGTCAACAGCTTTCTGAAGTTCGAGTATCGGCGGCAGGCATACATGTAAGGACTGATGTCGCTCATTTAATGTACCCTAGCATCGATCTTAGGATACTGATCCCAATGCATAGCCTAGCCATTCACTCTCATGCGCTATACTCTGTGGTCAAAAAAGAAAAATATCCCCAACCTACATCAAATCATACCCCTCATTAGCCCCAACCCTCAAACCACCATTCTCCATCGTCTCCTCAATCTTCGGCTCCCGATCCACAACCTCCACATACCAAGACAAATCACTATCGGGCCGCATCTCCCACTCCAAAAACCCATTCCCCATAAACCGAAAAGGATTCCGGCTATTATAAACAACCTCATAATCCTCCATGCGAATCTCTCGCATCAACCGATGAAAAAGCACCGCACTACCCCCAAACAACGCCGTCACCCTCCCATCCACACGATTACGTTTATACCAACTCTTACACGCCCCCGTCCACGCCAAAGTCTTATGCACCTCATCCCCGTACTTGACAAAAGCATCCACGGCCTCAGCCTTCGGGACCACGAATTTTATATCCTCGGTCGAGATTTTTCGGATCATTCGCGCAAAGTAGTCGCCCGTCCAGTTGAGGGATTCGACGAGGCTTCCGTGTCCGCCGAGACAGTTGGGGCCCATCATCATGAAGTAGTTTGGGAAGGAGTCGACGGCGATGGAGAGGTAGGATTCGGGTTCTTCTTTCCATTTTTCGCGCAGGTTGGTGCCGTTTTGGCCGATGAGGGGGTAGCGAGGGCGATGCGAGACGTCGAAGCCTGTGGCGTAGATGATCACGTCGCAGGGGAAAATGTCGCCGTCGGCGGTGAGGATGCCGGTTTCTGTGATTTCGGTTATGGGGCTGTTGGTTAGGGTGCAGTTGGGTTGGGAGAAGGATTCGAGGTAGCCTGGTCCTGGGGTTACTCTTCTGCAGCCGAGTTCCCATTTTGGGATCAGTTTTTCGCAGAGGTCGGGATCGTGGTTGAGCTTTTCTCGCATCTGTTCTGTTGCGAGCTTGACGGCGTTGCTGTTATTCTCGCCTTTTAGGAACTGTGTACTCGTTAGCGATGATCATCAGGTTCACTCGACTTGGACGTACCAGTCGGAAAGCTTTATTGGTTCGGTCGATTATTCCTTTTCGATACTTGTTGTGCTCCACTGGATCTTGCCATCTCTGAATCTCCTCTTCAAGGTATGGAGGATTTGGATCATCGACCTCTCTACCCAAATGTCGTGACGGAGGCAATCGATAGTAGACCCACGCCGGTCCTCTGATGAAGTTCCGTACTGTCGTGCCGGGAAGCTTCTGCATTTGAGGGACGATCTGAATTCCGGAAGAACTATCACAATCGATCAGCTTGTGCTCTCATATTCCATCAACCATTTCACCAGCTCACCCATTCCCTATCACCGCAATACGCTTGTTCGAATAATCAAAGTCATGATCCCACAGAGCCGAATGTGTTGTATGGCCCTTGAATTTGTCTATTCCAGGAATTGATGGCCAAGAGGGATGGGTGAGCACGCCTTGACTCGAGATCAAAACATCACAGAACTCATCCCTTTGCTCACCCTGATGCTCAACAGTAATCTTCCATTCCGCTTTGCTCTCAATCCAATGCGCTCCTACCACTTTGGTATTGAGTTGCACATCGCGATCCAGGTTCCATTTCTTCGCCGTACGTTTGATGTAGTCCTCAATCTCTGCTCCGCTGGAGTAGAATCTCGACCAGTTTGGATTCGGATCGAAGGGAAACGCATAGATATGACTGGGCACATCGCATTGCACACCCGGGTAATCATTCATCAGCCATGTTCCACCCACATCGCTTTTGGCTTCGAAGATCGTATGGTCGACTATATCTCGGAGCTCCGGGAATCGATGCTGGAATTTATGGGCAATCAAAAGTCCAGAGAACCCAGCGCCAATGGTTACAACCCTGATCTTGCGAGGCGTGTACGCATAGTCAGTGTTCAACGGAATCGCGTGGGAGTCGGGTGCAGTCCCGTTGGTCTTGGTCGTCGTACTGTGATGATTCGTGTATATTGGGATCTCTGTCGATACGCCAGTCTGTGGGACCTCCCCATCTGATGCCAGCGATGTCCCAGCTGCGTCTATGAACGGACTCATTCTGCCAACATTCCGATTCTCCAGATCTGTCGCTGTGCAGTTTCATCAACCGTCTTCAGCAGGGGTACTTCTACACTTCAATCGTTGCGAATCTCGGCCGATCTAGGTGTGATGGGTGCGAGTGCCGACATGGATTGTTAGCGATAACGCAAGATCGTATTCGGTCGCGTGGCAAGATCCATCTCACTGGGGGTGGAGGATTGAAGGAGATCGATTCTGTTCAGAGGTATGCCGACGTCGATCAGTGTCCGGTCTCCGCTTGCTTGGCGGCAGTGGTACAGTATCGTCATCTTGGCGTTCGGCATTGTGATGAGCACTCGGCATCTCTGGAGGTGGTGCTCTGCCGGCAATGTTGCTACAGTACTGCTTAACAAAGCAACTTGCGCCTGTACTGCTAATGCCTATCCTTTGCAATCCGACATTCTTCTCGCCTCCCCCCAGATCAGCATTCTTACCGATGCGGACATGAGGAGCAATAAGACAAGGCCGAACGCCTGGGGGACAGTACAGCCGCTACTTCCGAAAGGCTGTAAACCTACAACACTATGCATGGCAGCGGACATATTCACGAGTGCAGAGTGGCATGATGATTGCTGGAAGCGAGTCCAGACGCCGAGTGAGGGCGTGGCCAGGATCTTGGCTTTGGGTACGAGAGCGTTGAGAGCCTGTTCGATGTCTACAGGTAGCTGGGGTGCAGGCCATTACACAAGAAAGCGGTCGAAGTAATAGGGCTATACAGCACCCAAGAATGCAAGCAAGGCTCTTTTGCCTCATCGAGTACATGCCCTGTCCGGACCGCCATACACCTAAAATTAGCCGACATCTGATTGAGCGAGTTGCAGCTACACCTTGTCGCGGAGACTTGATATCTGCGAGGAGTAGTTCAACAAGTCTTATAGTGCGAGAGTGAGACTGTTGCATGACTGACTCCACAAAGCGTAGGGAGAAGGAATTATGGATTCTGCCCCAAAAGTTCACCGAGACATGAAAATCGATGATACATCGACACATGAGAGCGGCAGGCATGTCGAGCAGGCAGATGACGAGGCTGCGAAGGTCCTGAATACATACGATGGCTCGCTACACTGGACCGATGCTGAAGAGCGCAAGCTTAGACGCAAGCTCGACTGGAAACTGATGCCGGTGTTGTGCCTGACATATGGCCTCCAGTACTATGACAAGGCGATGCTCTCACACGCCGCGCTATTCGGACTAATCCCAGAGTTAGATCTTCGCGGGCAGAGATACTCGTATGCGGCTTCGATCTTCTATCTGGGCTTTATCGCTGGCGCGTGAGTCGTGAAGCTCAGATTTCCTGTTTGAAGCTTGCTGAGTGCGATGATTAGATATCCAGCAACAGTTCTTGCGCAGCGGTATCCTATCGAGAGAGTGGCCTCTGCAATCATCATCTTGTGGGGCATCTGTCTCACTTTGACAACGACATGCACAGGTTACAGAAGCCTTTATGCGCAAAGATTCTTCCTTGGCCTGCTTGAAAGTGGAATTAGCCCGATGTTTATGCTCATCGTCGGTTCCTTTTACCGAAAACACGAGCAAGCCTTTCGAATGGTAAGCAGATAGCGACGACTTCGCTCAAGACTAACGGTTTTTGCTTACTTTCATGTAGGGCATCTGGTACAGCCTGACAGGCTATGTCTCCATCGTCTCACCGCTCATCAATTATGGCTGGGGCCATGTCAATGGCTCATTGTCGCAATGGCATTACATGTACTTCTTCGCAGGAGGTAAAAGTACTTCGCCTTAGCCCTTTCATCCGGGAGCTAACAAGTGCAGGCATCACCATTCTTTGGGGAATCATACTGCTCTTCGTACTTCCGCCAGATCCAATTCGCGCAAAGGGGTTCGATTCTCGCGAACGATACATTCTCGTAGCTCGTCTGCGATCGAACAACTCTGGTGTTCGCAACAAAAAGTACAAGATGGGTCAAGTCGTGGAACTGTTGACGGACCTCAAGTTTTGGATACTGTTCCTGATGGCGCTGCTGAGCATGGTGTCGAATGGTGCAATTTCAACATTCGCTCCACTAGTCATCCGGGGCTTCGGTTTCAGCACCCTGAATACTCTGCTGCTTTATATGCCTGCTGGTGCCTATGCCGGCACGATGATGGTCCTTCTTTCGTTCTTGGCGATGAGATTCAAGAACATCCGCACATGGCTGATCTTCAGTGGTCAAATGGGCACCACTTTGGCCGCGGCGCTGCTGTATGGTCTACCATTGAATGAGACCGGTGGTCTTCTATTCGCCGTGTACATATTGCCAAGCACTGGAGCCGCGTATGGAGTACTGATGGGACTGCCGATCGCGAATACCGCAGGACACACCAAGAGAGCATTAGCATCGTCAGGACTATACATCGGGTACTGCTTAGGTATGTCAGCCTTCTGCATAGCCTGCTTCCTAGACATTGCCGAATATATCACCATACTAACGTGAAAATAGGCAACTTCATCGGTCCCCTCGTATTCCTCGAACGAGAAGCACCACAATACGCAACCGGCTTCATCGTAACCTTGATCACGGCAGTAATCTCCGGCTTTCTGGCGCTCGTATATCGCACGATCTGTATCCTGGACAATCGCAAACGTGACAAAGCAGGTTTCGTTGAAGGATTTGACCACGCGTTCGAAGATCCGACTGATAAGGAGGTAAGAAGTGATGTTGCGAAAAATGCCGAGCCTACTGGTTTACTGACATATGTGCAGAACAAGCAGTTCAGATATATTCTCTGAGCCGGGATGGGAATGGGAAAGCTAAATTGCAGTCCATTAGGCAGATTGATTCAGTCCAATATGAAGAGTCTCCGCAAGCGACTTCTTATGCTTGGGCTTGAGTGCCGAGTACTCGCGGCGTGTTGACTTCTCCGTGATGTCCGTTTTGATGCGACTTCTGAACCTGGTGTTGATGATGAATGGCGCTGGCTTGCCGAGTTACGCTTGCTAGTAGTTGTCCGCTTGTGTTTGTTGGGCAATGTAGAAGACTCCCTGTTTGGTGGCACGGCGACAACCCTTGGCCCACCAGGTGCTTGGGTGGAATTCCTTTTACTGGTCCTGGCAGGGCGCCTCGAAGAAGAGATCCTGGTTGACCCCGAATCCAGCACAACGTCGAGGTTTTCTGTGCGGCTCGGAGACCGCCGCCTGAGATTGGCATAATGTGCCTCGTCCAGTAGTTCCCTCGTCTCTTGCCGCTGTGAATTCTCCAACTGACGGCTTTTCCGAGCCTTAGACGGAGAATCTGAATGGAGCTCAGGAGTATAGCTGAGAGCATTGCTGCCAACACTATCCTTTGCATCTAGTGCTTCAAGAAATTGCGATCCAATGAAGGCGCGCACTTTCCGCACCACGCGCGGATTACCTGTGGCAGCCGCTAGCATCAAGGGTGTAATGTCAGTCGTGATTTGGCTGCCGCCTGTCGGAGCACTGCTAGTATCGTTCAAGCTGTCCGTGGTCCGCCGCGAGCACGTCTCAATTGCGCTAATAGGCCGTGCTTGAAGCAAGAGCAAAAGTCCGGTCTTGTCCTTCGCGATCAAAGCCAGATGTAGAGGTAAGCATTTGTACACGATGTGTACTGGATCGTCGCCAAAGCCGCTGGGATTCATGAAGAAAGCCTTCAGCTCTTTATGCAAGTAGCGGCCACCGTCCATCATCTCAATGACCTTTGGCACCACTTCGCATTGAATATCCACCAGACCAGGTCGCGCGCTCAGTAGCATTTCGTAAATTTGCCTTCTAGTGTCTGCTTCTGCATCTCGATGGGTTGGTTTTGACATGGCCGCGCAGTGCAGGACTGTTCCCACGAGTTGACCGGTGGCTTCGAGATCAGACTGAGCAAGTAGAAGCTGCACCAAAGCCAGATTGTGTTGGACTACCGCCAAATGTAGGGCTGTGCCAATACGGAAGCTTGCAGCATTCACATCGCACCCAGCTTGAATGAGTGCCTTCGCAGCAGGCACGGATGATCCAATAACCGCGTAATGTAGAGCTGTGAGGCCGATATCATCGGAATGGTCTATGTCGGCGCCCTCCTCCAAACTTCGCTTAAGGAATTTTACTTGTCCATCTTTGGCGGCATGAAGCAAGTTCTCATTCCTTCTGAGACGACGAGCCGCTTCCTGGGAGTCTGCGGCTCCTGGCTCAGATGTATTATTGTAGACTATGTGGGTTCGTCAGCACTTCCCGTCTCACCTTCCGGAGTCCGTAGAGCTGTACCATTGTGTATACCACCCAGAACGTGTCCAACGTGCTGTTTTACGTGATCTCTTGCCTCAATGCCGGTGAAAATGGTCCTCATTACTTGCTCTTGTGCAGATGCCATGTCTGCGCGAAGGAGTCATAACAGGTCCAGAGTGCGAAAGTCACCAGGAGCTGCATGGCGTTTGCCTTCGCGAACAGCAGCGCCACTATCCTTGGCATGCTGTTGACAGTACACAGCTGAGCCGTCTTGCTCATTCGAGCGCTCTAGCATGTGCAGGGCAGTGTCGAGATAAGTCCTCTCAGCGTTGCTACCACAACCTGGGTAACGAACGCTCCCATCGTCTCCGACAACCCATAGTGCAAAGCTGTCAGACCTCTCCCGTCCGAAAAGTGAGCAGAAACCTCCTTCAGCAATCAGATGATCCTCCTCTTGTCAGCATGATGCAGGTCTTTGACGCAACTCCAACTCATACTATTATCGCAGACTAATATCATCTTGTATCCCAGCTCTTACAAGTCCATGTGCATGAAACGTGACTTCGTTCGCCCTGTCTCGGCTATTTCAGGCGCCTTTTCTGGTGTGTGCTATCGCATATCTGTGTGCGCTTGAATCCGAAGTGAAGAATAAAGACATTCATCCATTGTCCATGTGTATGGCAAGTGCAGTCCTGAAATCCCGACGAAGTTGTGGACGAGCACAGACAGCGAGCACAATCCCTTGGCAAGCACGGGGGTCATAAGAATCAGATAAGAATCCATCAGATAGTCCATCAATGCCATCCATATCCTAGCATCGAAGCGATGCCACCTTGGTGGTGTGACATATCGTCCAACCACACTCAAGTCGGCGATTAGACATCAACACATATTGCTAGGGCAGTCTCAGATCATCAGATTTTCGCAATTTGTCATTCTTTCCCGTACCACGGACAGGAGAAGAGGAGGAAGAATCTGTCCTCACAATGCGAACGTCCTTATGTACACCGTACCACAGAGGAAACTCTAAAGGTATCATCAAAAATCCTCCGAGGTCCTTTCAGTCTTTACGCAAAGTCCTTCCGTCCATCATCCTACGACGCAGCCGCAGTCGACGCATCAGCTGGCACCTTTTCAATCTCAATCTTAGGCATCGCAGCACCAGTACCACCCAAATCCGTTGCTCGAGCCTTGGGGTTCTTAGTATAATAATTCGAAATAGCGGACTTGATCGCATCCTCGGCAAGCATAGAGCAATGCACTATTCATCAAAAAAGTATCAGCAAACCCATCCTCTTTCCCCATCACATTGTGACACAGTTGGATTTTTCACTTACACTTCACAGGCGGCAAACACAACTCCTTAGCGATCTCCGTATTCCGAATCCTACCGGCCTGTTCGAGCGTCATGCCCCTCACAAGTTCCGTCAAATAACTCGAACTGGCAATCGCAGAACCACATCCGAAAGTCTTGAATTTCACATCCGTGATCGTGTCGTTGCTGGGGTCGACTTTGATTTGTAGCTTCATCACATCGCCACAGGCCGGTGCACCGACGAGTCCTGTTCCGACGTCTTGAGCGTTCTTTTGCATGCTTCCGACATTTCGAGGGTTGTTGTAGTGGTCGAGGACCTTTTCGTGGTAGGAGCGTTGTTGGATTGGTGCTGTGGCTGCCGTTGCGCGGATGAATTGTGGTCGAGCGGATGTGGTTGCTGCTGTGCGGAGGGAGGCTTGAGCTGCTGGGGCAGCGGCGGCGACGACGCGCTTGAACATGGTCGGCGTGTGTTGATGGTTGTCAGTCGGTGGGGTTGGTTGTTTTGGATGAGTTGGTAGTTATCAGGTGGGTTGTAGGTAAGTGGTTGTTGTGTAGGTGTGGTCGAGGGTAGGAAGTGATAAGCTCTTTGCTAATGACTTCAACTTTCGAAGGTCCGATTTGGTCTGGGCGCGGGCAAATCGCGATGACATCGCCACCGGCACCATCGGAGGACTTCTTCTCCGACTCCGCGTTGCCACATGCGGTTTCCTTTGTTGCTCGCTGTCACATGACACTTCAATTCATACATCGCTTCGTGCTGGTAATGCTGCGCTGCGCTGTGCTGCGTCGCTCTATGCTATGTCTATAGTACACTGACAGCCATCAAAGACATTACCTTACTCAAGCAAGCTGGCCTGGTTGGCATACAGCACGTCCACCACATTGCCAAGCTTGCCGATCGTGTCGAGAGCCGCATCGTACCCCCTGTCGCGCTCTGCCTCTTCGAAGATCTCGAGCACACCCTGACCTTGATCCAGCACACCAATAATGACGCGGTCAAGAATCATTTGGCTCAACTTCCTCTCCACTTGTCCCACGTCGAGACCGACCATTTGTGCGACGTGTGTGATCTCGACGCGCGAGAATGGCTCGATAACCTTGATCAGATTCTGTTCCAACATGCTGTCGTAGAGACGACGCAGATGCGATGCGATGAAGCGATCGCTCCCCAGCTCGTAGCGGTATGCGTGAAGTGCTTGCTCGTACTCCTCCAAACTCCGGTTGTTGTGTGCGCGCGCGACCGCCTTCATGGCGTCCAAATTCTTGCCTGCGTATCGTATGGCATGCTTCGAGGTCATGAGTGAATCGACGTCATCCTTAAGGTTGAGCATGATTTTGCAGAGAAGCATGTATTGCAATGCCGATGTTGCCTTTGTGGCGTCGTCTTGCGAGTGGTAGCCCTCCATGGCTTCGATGAAGTAGGAGAAGGCGGTATTGAAATCGCCATCTTCAGCGTGTAGCTGTCCAGACTGCATGTCAAGACCTGCCTGCAGAAGCGGTGGTGTGTAGACTGATGCAGCGCTCGTCCGCGCGCTTGTGAGCGCTGCTCTTCCCTTTGGCACATTCCCCAACGCATGGTAGACTCTGCTCTCCAGCAACTGCACTTCCACCAAGACCAGCTTGTCATCTAACCGCTTCAGCTCTTTCAGTAGATTGTTGATGAGTGTGAGAGCGTCATAGTATGATTGTGTCTGCATGTAGAGGTTGACCAGTCGGACCTCTAAGCTCTGGCGAAGGAAGCCCTGGCGCTGCGATACGGCCCAATCGATGCATGACTTGGTGACAGATATTTGGGTGTCGGTGGTATTGGGGATGGGGGCGAAGAGGTCGAGAAGTTGTCGGACTAGAACATGTCAGTATTTGCGCATCCTCCCATAGTTCAGTGCCATGACTGACCCAACTTGGCGGTCTTTGCTCTTGCGAAACTGGTGAGGACATCTCTCGTTTGCTGGATGAGGTTCACGAGGTCGTCGGTCCGCTTGTGATCTCTATACAGCTCGCCCAATCCCACCAGCGCATTCTCAAACTCTCTGAGCGCCTTGTCGTTCTGGCCTGGCTGTTTCGACAAGATGTCTTTGTAGATGCTCTCGGCTTTCTGTGGTTGATCTTTGGCCAGCTTCCGCGCCTCTTCTATCCGCTTCGCATTATCCTGCTGCGCCATATTGAGATGTGCTTCGCTCTTGACCTTTATTCCTGATGCGAGAACGGAGTGACGCTTCAGATGCACAGTAGATTCGAGGCGATGAAGGTGTCGTGTGCGGTGTTGATGTTTCGGTGCAAGTGCAAGTGAGGCTCCAAGCTGTCCGCGAGTCGCCGAAGATCTCCCGGCACAACATTCATTCAAGCTGTCCACATCAAGCTTCAAGCATTTGATCTCCCTACGACATTGAGAAATCACGACATCACGGTCCGCCCATAATGCGTTTGATACAGGCTTTCATAACGGCATTGCTGCCATTCGCGGCGCTCGCGGCCACAAAGACGCCCGAAGAACGATTCAACGAAGCCATTTCGAAATCACAACCCATCAAGCTTGACGACAGGGCATACGACAAACTTACCAGAGCTCCGCGAGACTACTCTGTTGCCGTTCTCTTGACAGCTTTGGATGCAAGATTTGGATGTGCCCTATGCACAGAGTTCCAGCCAGAATGGGAGCTTTTGGCCAAGAGCTGGACCAAGGGCGACAAGAGCAAAGAGTCAAGATTGGTCTTCGCTACACTGGACTTCTTCGATGGAAAGCAGACCTTTCAAAGCGTAAGCAAGCATGGAAATGGCATAATGGGATCTTATACTGAGTACACATAGCTTCAACTCCAGACTGCTCCAGTGATGCTTCTCTGGCACCCAACTACTGGACCCCACGCGAAGCCTGACAGGCCCATGGAAAGATTGGACTTCAACACTGGGTGCGAGAAAATCTGAATTGTTCTCCCACGGTATTCGGCTAACAACAATCTAGCATCAATCGCGCCGACCCAGTCCATGGCTGGCTCTCTCGAAACCTGCCTGATCGACCTCACCCACCACTCTCCCGACCAATCAACTATGTCAAGGTCGCCGTCACCATCACTGCTGTACTTGGTGTAGTCACCTTCTTCGCCGTCGCTGCACCATACATCCTGCCCATCATCCAGAACCGTAATCTCTGGGCTGCCATCTCACTCATTGCCGTACTCCTCTTCACCTCCGGACACATGTTCAACCACATCAGAAAGGTGCCATACGTTGCTGGGGACGGGAACGGAGGCGTTAGCTACTTTGCAGGTGGCTTCCAGAACCAATTTGGATTGGAGACGCAGATCGTTGCTGCGATATGTGAGTCCATACACTCATTGAACCCTTGCGTTACATGCTGACTTGCTGCCAGACGGAATCCTTGCATTCGCGACGATCAGCCTTGCGCTCAAGACACCTCGCATCCAAGATCCACAGGCACAGAAACTCGCGGTGATCGTCTGGGGGGGCGTCATTCTTGTCGTCTACTCTTTCCTGCTCAGTGTCTTCCGTGTGAAGAATGGAGGATACCCCTTCTGGCTGCCACCATTCTAGAGGCCTTGTCGCGGCGGTGAGCGGCCGAAGCGGGCTCACAAGCATTGCATGTGTAGGTAACATGTATCAAAAGCGACCATTAAAAGCATTCGGCGCATAGAATCCATCTCAGGCTAATCCTCACTGCAAGCATGCTCTCTCAAACACGTTCTTCCATGGTCCTACAAGCCGCTTCTACGTTATGTAGCAATTCCATGGAGCTAATGTGAAAGCAGGAGGCCACAGTCTCAGCATCTGGAACGTGACGCGCTCGCAGCTCAGCACGAATATCAATCCGTGGCTCTCACTCATCGTCATGTAGTCAATGCAAGCTCCAACTGGAGCTCACTCAGCCTACGGTCGAGAGCATTGTCTTGAGCCACCGAACACATGGCGGACTAAAAAAGCAATTCATACAATGTCGGGTGCTGCTTTCGTCATCTATAAATCCCCTTCATACATGTATCCACTAATGTATCTTCAAATTCTCCTCATTCAAAACCCCAAAAAGCCCCTCAATTTCCTGTCCCACAGCCTCAATATCCTGCGCCAACTGTCCCGTCACCAGGACATAAGCATACAACATTTCATAGTCTTGTTCCGTAACCACATCTCTAGCCTCACCACTTCTCCGGAACTCGGAGATTTTCGATAAAAGTCGATCTCGACTATCTTCGACGTTGGGAAGGACGTCGTTGAGGGGATATTCGAGTTTGATGCTTGACGCGAGGACGGTGAACAAATGTGAGATTCGGGCTGACAGGGCGAAGCGTTCGGGGCGAGTGTATTTCAAAACTGCGGCTTCGCCGGGCGTGCATTGGAGGTTTTTTGAGATGACGACGTTCATGGCGTGGAAAGCGTCGAGCATTCTGCCTGCGCGGTCGAGCATGCGACCGATTTGTTGATCGGGGAAAGGGCCTTGGAACTCGAATTCAGATTTTGCGGCGTTGCGCAGACTGCGGAGATTTGCGAGGAAGCCGTGGAGATCGGACTCTTCGCGAATGTCCATGTATGCTGTTCGGGGTTCGCCGAGGAGGAACATGGCTAAAGGATCGCGTTTCCAGATCAGACCCATTCGAAGCCAGAGGACGCAGAGACCTTCGCGGAGCTTGTTTCGGGCGGAGATGGGCATGATCCAGCGGCAGACAATGATGGCCCAGGCGCAACCCACCGTTACTGAGACTACACGGTGGAGGACAATAGCCCAGATTTCGGGATCGATGCCGCCTTCGTCGTCGTCGTTGTCATCGTCATGGATGGACAGACTGTACGCATAGAGTGCGCTGAGATTGTAGGTGAGGATGATGAAGCGAGCCATCGGGCCGTTATTTATGGCGATGTTGATGTAGAACGCTGGCAAGGACATGATCCAGCCACAAAACCCGAGGAGATAGGGGTTTACAACGCCGTCGTGACTGCATATCAGCCAAGCTATAACAGCACACGCCGCGCCGATCAAGGTTCCAAAGATTCGATTGAAACCGGTCGTGTTCGTCGCTCCGACAGTCATGGAGCAGACGACCATATACGATACCAGACCCCACTCGCCTCTCCAATGCAAAAAGAATGGTCGTGTCTCGGGCAGAAAGGCAGGCAGGGCGTATAGTGCAGCACCAATGCCGACTTTCAGAGCGAATCTGGTGTCATCTCGTCTCATCCAGCGAAAAGCGCGATAGAGGCTGTAGTACCAAGGGCCTGCGCGCATCTTCTCAGGATCTGCAAATCGGTCGGCTTTGCGAATCGGCTCAATGCTATATGCAGTATCAGGTTCTTCGTTATGCTCAGGAAACGTATGCCTCGGACTCTTGGTTCCGTCGGGCCTCTTTCGCTTCTTCCAAAAGAGCAGCCACTTCCATGACTTGCCTGGCGACTCCATCTCTCGCTTTAAGTCGTCCAAGATCTCAAGATAAGTCAGAACATCTTCGGCAAAGTCCAATAGTGAGAAAGAGAAGTGTCCGCAGCAGGCAGAGACCTCCTCAATATCTGCCAGCACTTCTTCGGGGCGGCGGTTAAAGAGCGTCTTGGAATGATAAGGTCTCCTCGATTCTGGAGAGGCGGCTCCTGGTGTATGAACTTTCGATGAGAAACTACTCTTGTTCCCTGCCTCAGCATTGATGGCAGCGTTGACAGCTCGACTCTGGTGCAGTGCTCCTAGCGCATTCTTTCGTGCTTGTCTGTATAGATCGATGGCCTGCTTTAGGCTAGCGTGGAATTGGGGATTGATGGCGACTTCAAGCTCCCGATTCGCCCACGGATTCCAAGCTGCCGATACTTCTCGAAAGGGCAGCTCGTCAAGCGTCTGCTTCAGGGTAAAGACCAGACTCTTGGTCGGCGGTCCAAGTTGTGTGATGAAAGCCACAAACATATCACCTGGGCTCTTGACCATATTATGACTTATTCCGAGCGTGATGGGAGTATCGCCATTGGCCTCGGAGTAGGAAGTGTATGTGGAGTAAGGAGTTTCTGTTCCACTCGGTGTCGCATAGTCGAAGAAGCCGCCATTCTTCTTTGCCAGGTTCTCGACAGGACTCTGCACTATACCATTATTCGTAAACCGCTCTCGAGATCCAGCTGAGCTCTCTGGTAGTTCCGTAATGACATCAAGGTTGCCAAAGAATTGCTCTCTTTCTTGAGCGGGCGATCGAGGCGTTGACGGAATTTGAAATTCCTCCGCGCATGCTGCGCCGTCTCCGTTGGTGTTTGTCTGCGAATTGATGAAGGAAAATTGAGCCAAAGCTGCACTACGCAGACCTCCTAGATCTTGTGAGAGGCCATCGAGGCATCGAACAACTCGAGCTTCGACTGCATAGACTCTTTCACGACCGAGCACGTAGTATTCCTTCTTCGCTTCGTTCAGGTTCTTCTTCATCTGGTTCAGAGAGCTGTAGTGCTCTTTCGCCAAAGTCTTGAAGTACTCATCCTCCAGGTCCTGCTCGCGCCCATGCAGGAAAGCTCTCGTGATACTGATCAGCATCTCTCCGAGCAAGTCGGTGTTCTTTTCCATCTGGTAGCTCAGCTTCTTCCTCGCCAATGTTGGGAAGAGCACGACGTTGATGACGCTCGCAATGATAATTCCCAGTATAATCATGCCGAGAGTTTCGGTGATCCTTTTGTAGCCAAAGACGCCTGCCTGCACACTTCCTTCGCGAATGAGGATGTTGATGGTGCCCAGCGATGCCAGCGAGATGGCCACGTTTACCAGTGGATTGCCTAGGCGTTGTTTAATCCAAGCCATGAAGCCGAATCCTCCAGCAACGAAGACGGTCAAAACTACAGCATGGCCAAGCATAATGACATGCTGATGCGCAAAGAAAATGCTCACAGCCATGGAGCCGAAGCTTAAGAATGCAGCATAGCAGAATGCGATCAAAGACAGCACGAAGGCTTCATGCATACTTCCAACCGTTCTCGCGGGATGGAAATACACAGTAATGGTGGCGACTAAGTGTTTCGAATCATTTTTGCCACCAAACCAAGCAGCGACCCAAGGTATGAGAGTGGCCATAGATCCAAGCAGGTAGGCGATGGAAGACTTGAAGATACCTTGTCCGGTAGGCGATTTCGCAAACATCCAGAATTGGCATAGTCGGCGACGAAGAGCTTCCTGGAGAAGCTCTGACCTAGTCTTATGTCTGCGATACGTATCGTAGCCTCTGCCGTCTCCATATGCTAGCAACGACTCGTCTTCTTGTCCGTCGCTGCCACCGGCGATGGACATGCGATTGGAGGCATCTCGAAGGGTGAATGTGCGTTTGGAACGCTCGCCGGTCTTTGGCAGGATAAAGGAGGCGCGACGAAGCTGTATATCATTAGCACGTCTTCGCCTATCCATCATCGGCGCGCCATGAGGTATTGCTTGTTTGCTGCTCGTGCTGATGATGATGGCATTGCTGTTGCTATGCTGGCTTTGAGGTTCAGGGATTGTTGCAGGATCCCTACCTTTCTCCCAAACCTTGATCTCCTGCTAGCTTCGCGGCCCTCGCCATCTGCGACCGGGGCCATCACGGCGGATATGTGTTGTGCAATGTAGCATCAAGAATTGCATGCTACGTGTTCGGCAAGAAAGGTGTCAATGCTCGGGTGGTGAGAGAGTCAGCGGCGTGGTCAGTCGGCGGATTGGAAGTCTTGGAACAACATCAAGCAAAACGTGGCTTGGCTGCGGGATTCTTGGAAGAGCAACGTCGCACAGCATTGAGGGGGTGACAATCTACGCCATGGGAGTAAAATAGCAGGCAATGGATATGATGTGCTTTCAGAGCCATATCGTACAATTGCAGGAGACATGCGGAAAGAGGTGGAGAGCGACAGCAGCAAATCTCTGAGCAACATCTGATACTATGGAAGGGGCTATACACCGAGCTCCATGTCGCTGAACGTCTCGATGTTCCGCCGGTCTTGCTAGCCTTCTCCACCGCGCGCCCCAACTCTTGCAAGAAATCAGAACTCCTCGCCTCTCTCGCCGAATACTGAGCGCTTTCACTGCCAACAACTTCCTCCACAATGAAGTCGCAAGATTCTTCTCAGCAGTGCTTGGAATGTCTTGGCCGCGAAAGACGAGGTAAAATCCGTATTGGTTGACGATCGTTCCTACACTCGACGGGACAACGATTGCTTGTGCCGCTCCAGCATCCATACTTGCTACATTGAAGCAATAGTCAGCAAAACGTCAAACGGCTTGGCACGTCGGTCTTGGGTCCGCTCTCAGTCAGGACGAGACACCAGGAGAAATAGGCCTAGGAAGACTGCCACCCAGCAAATCCCAGGCGCTGTCTTTCATTGTCGAGTGTAAGAACGACAGAGTCAGCCAGGTCTGTGATCTGGTGATGACTTCTTTGCTGCCAAAGATCTTGCGATGACGATAGGGATGCTTGAGATGTCTGCTGCGGCAATTGCAAAGGTTATTATTCCATCAATCTGTGCATCAACAGTCTTCACTTGATCGCCAGTGGTACACGACTCGGTGGCAGTCACGTAAGCAAATCAACAGCACTCCTCCTGATCTGCAAAAAGCCCTCTCGCATGAGTTGAAGATGCCGTCTCATGTTTGCTTCCTTGCCGCTACTCTGTGCCGCATGGCTGCTGGCCAGACCACTCCATGCCGAAGAGCCGATCGCATCTCCAACACAGGGTGATAATAGCCAGACGATGCGATAACACCATGCGTCTGCGTAAGCTGATGCGTAAACACTCTCGAGTCTATGTTCGTGAGAGATTTGACAGTAGATGCAATCCAATGGCTGCCACGAGGTCTGCAAGCCATCGCTTCGGGTGCTTGCACGAATCTCAAAGTACTGTACATGTACAGTCGTTGATTCAGTAGAGAATGCGATGCTACTGGCAGAAAGGACCCTATACCCTAGTTCCAAGCCAAGTCAGATCGGCTGACATGCTCGGCAGCTTCGATACAGGGTGTTTTGTAAGCTCGACAAGGTCGTCAAACTCTTGCCCGAAAAATTAGCGAGAACGACAGGCCTTGATCCGGGGGGAAGACAAGAGGGTGAAACCCGAAATACTCCTCTCTATGAAGATCGACTACAGTCATCATCAGCGAAACTGCAATTTATGCTGATCTCATCCTTCTGCATATAAGGAATATGCACGCACCGGAGGATGCGAACTCCTTCGCGAAAGCTCGCGAAAAACAGAAAACCTTGAGCAAGCGGCAGCCGGCCAGCCGCTTGCTGAGACACACCAAGACTTTTCCAAGAACTAACAAGACCAAGTCCACCACGCGAGCGAAAGGGCTTGGCTGCCAATACTTTTTTTCGTCTAATTGTGCTTTTCTTGGTCGAAAATGAATCATCAATCAGCTGGGGCAGGGCAAGCCTTGGAAAAAAGAAAAGTCATCGAGTGGGAACGGTCAGGCTAAGCTTTTGCGGTGTCGAGGGCCTAGAGTTTAGGTTGGAGAGCTATTTTCAAGCTTGATTCTGCTTGGTTTCTTATCGTAGCGAATCGTTGGCATTGTGGACGGCCCAGCTTGTCATTAGGGCAGCCACAACACGTGGGCACGGGCACTACGGTCGTCTTTGGAAGCGAAGCGATGCGGCACAGCTTGATGATGATCATGTCAAGTCAGACATTATTGAACAGCAGGTGCCTACTGAAAGGAGGAATTGTCGTTGGCCGCATTTCCAGTGATCTGCTGGTGGTGCCACCTTTTTACAGACTTCCCAACTTCTTGGCTCCTTCGTCCCATGGTCTTTGTTTTGCGCAGCGATGAAAAAGGCCGACCTGAGGGAACGAAAAACTCGGTGGAGCAGCTGACGTGGCTTACGAAGAGCACGGCGATATATCCGCTCGAAATACGGTGTGTCGTACACCCTGCCTTGTGCATCGCACCAGAAAAGCTGGGATTAATGTGCAAACGAGGCGTGGCGTTCTTGGAACCACGATGGCGTATTTTGGATGTTCCGGGGGCGGAACAAGTGAATGAAGGACAGCTTGCTTCAACACACGAGGTGCATACCACTTGAGAGCAGGATACAAAGGCTTGAGATATCGCATCCTTCGACCGATGATCACATCTGTTTGAACGCCGTTCGCCGTGCTGTCCGAGGTATACAGCGCTGACTCTGTACAGCTGGTCACAGCACGATTGGTCTCTGAACCTGGCATCCCACCCTGCCCCTTGGCAGTTCTAGTTGCTCTTGGCGGGTTTTAAGGATTAAGGTATGGTTTTGGCTCGTCGGACTGAACATGATTATGCCATTTTCTCGGCAACACACTGATGAACCATGGTCGACAGACCGGATCAACCAGAGTCCCTCTACTCTGTTTCGTATTCTGCTCTTTCGGCGGCCAGCCAATCTCGCATCAAGCTCGTAAGGGAGTCCAGTTCGATGGCTAAGCTAGTGGCGAGATCGTCCAGACCCAGAGGAAGAAGGCGTGGTGCGAGAGGAGTTATCGCTTCGCGAACGCCCAGACAGATCGGTTTGCGCCACAACGAACCTTCAATACGCCAAAAACGTGTCCAGCCGGGCCAAGAATGCACAAGAGCGCACAAGACTCCGTGTCTATCGGCGCCGTCCAATCGCCCACATGGTGCCGCTGGCTTGCTTGGTGACGCATGTGCCGTCGCTTAGCCAAGCGATCGCCGCGGCGAGCAGTGCGAAGGACATGGTTCATGGTGAAGGAGCATGCAATAGATGGGCAAGCCAGAGGGCAATGCAAATGCCGTCAAAAGCACCCGGAATGAGGCATGATAAACAGCTGCCGTATGACTGGCATTTCCGTCGTGATTCTTGTGCGATGCCAGGGAGATTGGAATCACGGCATGTCTAGGCGGACAAGACTTTTGCCAAGCCACGATCGCCTGAAACTGATGAGCTAAAGGGCGCTAGATTAAAAGTGAATACAAGCTTACTTGGAAAGTGGGGCCCAGCCCTCGCGAAAACTGACTCCTACCCTTGCACAACTTGCGCTTACTCTTTTCCAACTCTGCCTCTGCCTTTCCTTCCACTCTCTTTTCCGCCTGCTGCCCCTTCGGACAGAATTATTGCGCTGCAAGGAACGGCGAAGCTTGAAGCCAGACGTTTGCTTCTATTCACTCCACTCGGGAGCAAATCCCCGTTTGTCAGTCAATTTTCGAGGTGCGTCACCTTGCCGCCGGTGGCCAACCAGCGCTAACAGGCCTTCAGATACCACCTTGCAATAACGTCTCGGCAAGACCTCTGAGGTCTTTGCTGCAGTCATGAACGGAATGGAGACGTATCATGGCCATGTGCGAACGCCTGCCGATGCCATCATTCTGTTCGAAGCGTGTCGCATCGGATTACTTCCTCGTGTGCAGCGTCGACTTTCCGAAAAGGAACGGCAGTCAATAAAATCTGGATCTGTCTTCGTGTGGGACGAGCGCGAAGCTGGCATGCGACGATGGACTGACGGCAAGTCCTGGAGCGCAAGTCGAGTCTCGGGCAGCTTCTTGACTTACCGCGAAATGGAGGGCAAGCGTGGTGGCTCAACTTTCGACAAGAACGCTTCCAACCGCGATGGCATTGGTGGTGAAGGCGACAGTGACGGTGGCCCTGATGGCTATCGCTACAAGCCTGACGGTCTTATGAAGCAGTCTTTCTCCATCACCACCAATCAAGGCCAGCATCTTCATCTGATCAGCTACTTCTCGCGCTCGTCTACTGCAGCCAGTGGACTCATGCAGCCATCAAGTGACCCGCAACTCCGACATATCAGGCCTGAGAAGGGCATGTATCCTGACTCGACTGTCCACGAGCAGAGCAATATTCCAGCTGTGACACAAGGCCCAATGGGCTCTCCTGGCTACACTCACGCACCACACCAACCACCATATGGACGACCATATTACCCGCACTGGGCGCCACCGAGCCCCATGCACACGCCTCCACCACATCACGCGTACTCTCCATACTACCAGCATCCGCACGCTGCCTACCCAGGAATGCACTATCCACCACCACCCACTTCGTACGGCGCACCTCCTGGCATGACTGCTTTCGACCGCCCGCCGCCACCGATGGGCAATACTGCACTGCCACCTCCACCGCCTGGTCCATACCACCAACCCCATCACAGCTACTCCGGCAGCTATCCACCACCGCCACCAACTTACAACTCCAATGCCTATGCTGGATACCAACCCCCGCCGCTGCAAGCCCCTCCTTACCCTGCAGCACAGCAGTCAAAGTACGAGCAGAAGCTGCCAACCACAGAGCAGTCTCAACAGCAAGCGCAGCAGCCAACACCTGCCGGGTCGGACGCGAATAAGTCAGAGGATAAGCCCTCGTCACCCAAGGCAGGCGTATCGCAAGCTACCGCTGGCGCACCCGCTCCTGTTTCTTCTGGTCAAACTATCCCTAGCATATCTGCCATGCTCAACGGCTCTGGAGACGGTGGTCCACCGCAGAGGACCAGTAGTAGAAGTCCAGGTGGCACCGCTCGCGCCGCACTTCACGACATTCCAACCTCTAAGCTCGGATTCGAAGCTAGCAGAGACGTGCAGACGATACGAAACCTCGACAAGACCACTTTCAAGCAGAACTTTGTATGAGTCCGTCAAGTCAGGGTCAATCATTTTGGTGTTTTCATGTAGCGATATGGGGCATGGGGCATGGCGCAGGCAGAGCGGAGGTTTGCTCGCCTATGATTATGTTTACGATGTGTGCCGTTACTACTATTGTCACGGCAATTGCATAGACGGACGGCTAAAGGAAGCCGGGGAGCATTTTGGAGCAAATCGCTGATGGGGAACTGTGTATTCTGTTTAATGTTTCGGGTAATCGCTATCAATCTAGCTGAAGCAGCCAGTAGCTGATCGGAAGATGAAGAAGCTTGAGTGGTCCAGTATCGTCGATTCTCACGGTTTGCCATCTCCGTGACTTTCTACTTACATCGCTAAATGAAACACTGACCGATCGCGCTTTCCGTTCTCGCAACACAAACTTGGCAAATTTAGAAGGCGCACATGATTTCTCGTTTCCTCGTATAAGTAAGTAAGTAACGCTAAATTCATGCATATCATAGCGTTGGCGTAACCTTCATGTCGAGAGCGTTTGGTTGATCGAACTTTGGGACACTCGGAAAAGCCGAGGTCGCTTTTATGCATAGCATAAGGCACTACAGTATCTCTTTTCGCCGAATTTGCATCTCGATCATCATACCGCCGGGCTATTGGTGGGAATTGTGGCTGTAGCCAACCGTGTCGTCCGTTGTCGTCTTCGTCGTCCACGTGCAATTCCGCTACTAAGCAAATATCCATATCCTTCATGTCTCATCTTGTTCTTCCTACGACCAAGCTCCAGGCGCCCTCTCGATTCTCAGCCGGTATCGCAGTCGCAGTCATCATACCCGCAGCAAACGAACCCAGTATAACAATCACTGCTCACCAGTTTTTCGTCCACCCTGCGTACTATTCCACCCAAGTCTACTCTTATAATTCGGGAGTTCGGCATTGTTCCACGCATTCACAATCACACTAACATCCACGCGTCAGCAAAACCTCAGCGCAGCGCAACAAATTCAAACTTGATGTCGACATACTTCTGCGTCTTATCCCCCAACTTCTCATCTCCTTGTTCTTTCACACTAACCCGCAACCCCCCATCTTTGGTGAAAGACATGTGTTTTTTCTCCATGTGTTTTGACCCGCGGTCTGCGAGTTCGTTGCTCCACAGGTAGATTTGGTAGCCGAGGAAGGCTAGGATTCCGAGGACTCCGAAGAGGATTATGAGGGGGAAGAGGCTGGTTGCTTTTGCCATGGTGGTGGGCGCAGCGCAAGGTGGTGGGTGGGTGGTTGGTGTGAAGGGGGGGTGTTTTAGTGAGGAAGAGAGTGCATAAGGAGGAGGAGTCGCGCATGCGCAAAGCAGCTGATGCGTGGCTGTGGCTGGGCTGGAGCTGAAACTCAGGGTCTGGTTTCAAGCCTTAGCGCGGGTATAGGGTCTCTCGGAACCGCGGTATTACAGTTGTCCGGAAAAGAGCTATAACAGCACCGTTTAGAAGGGATAAACTGTACGCCTTGTAGAACTAGTGTATATCGGTATAGTATATCGATTTGAACGATGTTAGTACTATACTCGGCGATATATTATTATATAGGCGAAGCGTTCTAGTATACGAACCGTTCCTTAGGGTTAGGAAGCGTTCCGGCTAATAGAAGCGCTAGAAGTCCGCGGAGGTGCGTCCGTATATACACTTTACGTACGAATGTTCCTCTATTTGCTCCCTACCTATTTATTTACTTACTACCGCCGTTGCTACTAGTAAAGTCAATTTTTTATATAGTAATCGCAATCGCTTTCGAGACCTTTAACGTATTAATATACCTGTACTAACTGACCTCGTATATTGTACAATATCCGAGAACTAATCCCTATTTCCTTATATTCTACTTCTTAAAGCCTAGAAAGACTATAAGAGGTAGAATCTTACGACATATACTACTATTTACTCTACGATCTATTCTGCTTTAATACCTACTTTAATATCTGCTTTACGAAATACTTCGACTTCAACTTCGATAGCTTTAAATATACATCTTATAAGGCTTTAATAGTAGCAAGATCTTATTAGTATATATCGTATAGTTTTAGTAAGCATTTATTTAGCAATTGTTAGTATGCTTAGCACTTTCGTTTATTAGCATATATCTAATCGTAGTAGTATATATATTAATATCTTAGCATTCTCATCTACGAAGTACTTAGTTAGCAACTACTTAAGTATTAAGACTATAACATTTATAGCAATTTGAAGCATAAGACACGATATAGCATATAGCATTCGATTATAAAGCCGAAGCCTAAAGCATATAGCAAGCGAAATATAAAGCCGATGCTTAAAGTATATAGTATATAGCATATAGTAAGCCGATTATAAAGCACGATTTTCAGGACTTTTAGATCTAGCTATTTCAATACTACTACCGGGAGCACAGCAGATATAACTATATCCTTTAGCAGCACTACTATATAGTACAAATGATATAGAATACTAGTCTCTTTCATTAAATAGGCATATAGTATAGTAGTTTAGTACTGCATTGTATACTAACATATAATAGACTCTACGAGCTTAGCTTCGTTAGCTAGCTAATCCTAAGAATGTCGTAAAGCGCGTTTTACCCTAGTCCTATCCTAAACCCTCTTCGAATAAAAAGACTATCTATAAACAAGATACGGAGAATATAGCAAAACTGTATTACGAGCGAAATGTTATACACTTCCTTTATGCTTTATATAAATTTAAACACGATGTAATTATACGAGTTTACGGCCCCGAGTTTTCTACTACTATACTATACTATATATAGGTACGGAACAAATTTCTCGATATGCGAACCTTTAAAAACAAGGTTACTATAAGAGTACGAGTAAGTTATCATTTATTTACTATATGCCTATTCTTTTTGCCCTCCTCTAACCCCTTTTAGCTTTAGGTCTTAGAGTTCTAAGATAGTTCATTTTGAACCCGAATCTTATAATTTTAAGCTACCTAATAGGTTATTTTGATCTTTATAGTTCATTTATTATGCTTATAGTTCATTATAATGCTTATATTCATTTATAATGCTTATAATTTTGCTATTCTGCGTCTACTTTAACTCTACAAACTCGAATATTTACCTACCTAAGAGCTATGCTTTTGCTAATAGCTTATAATTGATAGTATATACTAATAATTTAATAGGATCAGGCTAAGCTAGAGGTAAAGGAGACTCCTGCCCTCCTAACTATATTAAATGGTTAGGTTTAAGCTTTCTTTGTAACGAACTTCTACGAGAATAAGTTCTTTACTATATTAGTGCTTTATCTTATACTGTTTAGCATAGGTATACTAATCTATATATCGCAGATACTACTACTTAAAGGACTATCTAGACTACAAGTCCTCGAAGTCTCGAGGTAAGAAGTACTACTCCTATATAATATGCTATACTGTCCTCGCTCTATTGTTGCTTATTTATAGTATACTAATATCTATTAGGGCTCTATTCTCGCTTAATAGCTATAACTATTGTCTATATTAAGGCAGACAGAGCTCTTAGTGAGATCAGTATCGTAAGGTCGTTATATCTATAATGCTTATAATGCTAATGTATATTATAGACGTACGAGACTACGTATACTAAGATGCTCTAGAAGTACGACGCGTAGCCGTAAGTCTATCCTTTAATCCAATCTTAAATATACAGCACTCTTAGTACCTCCGAGACCTCCGTATGCCTTAATATCTATACTATAATTACCGATCTAATCAACCTTTAATAATCGACTTCGTACTACTCGTTCTACTCGTATATGCTAATATATATATAGAATAAGTAACAGTTAGGATACGCTTACCCGCGAGCACTTCGAGTTTACGTATACTATAGCATAGCTTTTACGAATCCTTACTACTAGGTAGCAATACTAATATTCTATAGCATTCCTCCGATAAAGCAGGTCGGTAATCGCGGTCGAAAGGTACGTAGAGTAATACAATCTATTAAAGGTTATATCGTAGCTAGAAGTCTAAGCATACTGCAAATTATATCCGTATAGACTAAAGATATCGCTAAGGCCCTCGCGGACGCCGACGAGGACGGCTTTAACTTCGGTAGCGACGACGAGGAGTAGTTGTTTCTTTATTTTTATATTTATACTATTATCTGCGCTAGTCTGCGCTATATACGCTATAGGCGCTGCTTGCTTGCTTGCTTTGCTGCTCTGCTACTTAATATTTTATATATATTATTATTAATGTATAACTTCTTAGACTAATAACTAGGATCTAGTCTTATACCTCGCTAACTAAATATAGAAAGACTTCTATTGCTATTAAGACCTACGTAGCGATATCGAGTCGAAAGATAGATGTACTACGAGAACAACCTAGCCTAACTACTATATAGCGCCGCAAAGTGTATAGGAAGTCTAAATTACGGCTCTATACTTAATTCACTTACGCTACTATATAAAGAACGCGTATATATGCAGTGTTTATCGCGTAGCGCGTATACGGGTACCTACGCCTGCCTTGCTATAAGCGCCTGCCTACAAACACCTAACTCGCACTTCTAAATTCTGCTTCTACTATACTAATAATACTTCGAACAAGAACACTTAAAGCATTCAAACTATTTAATTAATTACAGCTTTAAGCGACTCGACTGCGATATAATATCGTACTGCAACCTAGAATAGCTAGAGCCGGAGAAGATACCTAAGCTAAAGCAACTAGAACTATAATAACTAGCGGCGCCGACAACCTTAGCAGAGCCTAGTCTATCTAATAGATAGCAGCCCGATTCTACTTAAGGTACTAAGCGTACGCGCGAGGACGATACTAATAATCTCGGTAGTCTCTACGATACTAGTATAGACGATAACGACCTAATTCTAGATATAGAAGGTATTATAGAAACTATCGAAGGCGCTAATAGCAGCGACATAGATATTATACCTACTAAGATACCTATCGCTAAGATAAAGCCGGCCGAGCTAAGCCTCGAATTAGCTAACTTATAGGTCTAGCCTAACCGCGAAGGTCTACTCGACAATGCCGAAATGATTTAGTTAGTAGACTACTAAGATCTTGTCCTCGACGACGACGACGATAACGGCTTCTTTAGTAAGGACGTAGCCGTACTAGGTACTAAATATAATAAAGCCGAAGAGCTCGACCCGAATATCTAGTATAGTCTAATACTACCTCTAAATCAAACAGTATTATTAAGCAGTAGTAGTAGTAGCCTGTTTAGTGTCGACGACTTAGCGATCCTTAACTAGAAGAAGGGCTACACAACTCTTCGTATTACTAACACTAAGCTAGCCTTCGCTCTATAGATCTAGGAGACAGGCATCTTACGAGCGGACTACTCGATACTTCGCGCGATCTTTGCTTTAACTACTAACGCTAACCTTAAAGATCTACTAGAGACAGTTAATACGCTAAAGCTCTACCTTCGGTTAATACTGCTACTACTTAACCTACGATATAAGGACGTCGCGCTCGAGGAGAAGAAGCAGCTAATACTACCGGCTAGCCTTAAGTCTATAGGCGACAACAATGCCGCGTAGTTACTCTATTTCTTTAATGCTTAGTAGCTGTTTGCACGTATGCTAGTCTCTTAATTCGTAGGCAAAGTCTTCTAGGGTATAGCGCACTTTGTAGACGTACTAAAGCACTTATAGCAATCTATAGCGTAGGCAAGCTCGATTCGCGCAACTTTAGGCTAATTCGCTCGATATCTAAAGAGCGCTAGAAGCACCGATCTAAGCACTTTATATAATATAGGCCTAGCTACTAGCAAGCCTGCAGCGTAGTAAGCTAGGCTTCTAAAGAAGCCGAGTAAGAGTTAGGGTAAGCGAGCTAAGGACGTTGCATCTTATAAACTAGATCTAATACTATCGGCGCTAACAGATTAGAAGCAATTTATCGGCTTGCCTAGCGGTGCAATCTTTCCTACCGACTTTATTAGCTTTATATACTATAGCGATACGTACAATTGCACTACGAGTAGCACTAAGCATATCGGACGTATGCTCGGCATTAGTATCGATAAGCGCTCGTAGCGCGGCGGGCTATTTAGCTACCTAGGTGCGCTAAATACTATATCGATTAAGGTACGAGCGATTATAGTATATAGTTAACTGCCTCTAGATCTCCGCTAGGCATTAGCTACCGATATTGCAAGCAACGAGCTATTTATAACCGATAATGTCGACTACTATCTTCTACCCTCTAATATCTAGCTATTCGATATAGGCGTAATTGCAGTGCAGTACTCCTTCGAGAGCAAGATTAGCTCTATACTACTAGCCGATACCTACAACTTTATTATCCGGCGTATTGTCGATCGCTAATCGAAGCTGCGCCTAGTATATAAGACCTATCCGATCCGTAGCGAGCTTAAGGTTATAGCATTTAGACGTCTATAGCTAATTAACAAATTCGACGCTTACTATATAGGCTAGGAGACTGTTTCCTTACCTATACTTAATTTCCTCGATAGCTTTAGGCTCTATCGCAATATACAACGCTCTATACTAGGTATTTACTTCGTACCTACTAGCTTAACTAGCGAGGAGCGCAATCGGATATCTAATATCATCCCCTTTACGCTTAGTCCTTACGGAAGCAATATTAGCGACGTTATTAAGGCAATCGGTCTATCCCTACGAGCACTCGACGAAGGCTAATTTCTTAGCCTTCCGAATAGCAATTAAGCAATAGTATTAGCGTTTACGATAGTGTATATAGGAGATATGCTATAGTAGTAAAGCAACTCTAGTATACTACACTAATCTGCTAATATCGGATGCCGTATATACTATACTATAGAAGATAATCGCGGCTAGCTTAAGCTTAGATAGGAGATAAAGTACTATTACGAGACCTAGCGGATACGTTAATTTATAGACGCCTTGCCTTCGAATAACGCTCGATATAAATTCGGTCGGCAATTCGGTATAGCTCTAGAGGTACTAGCTCTTGCTAAGATTATACTAGCGTTAGATATCTATAAGACTCGACTAGCAGACCTAGCGTACTCCGAGCTTAATAGAATCACTTATATACTATATAATGTCTTGCTTAGTAAGGTCCTAATTATATCGGTATAGGTTAAGTATGCTTAGGTATTAAAGAAGTTTCTATTTCCGCTAGGATAGGGTCGCCTAAGATTGCTACTCTACTATCTTCTTACGTTTAGCTTGTCGGAGCACGCGCGTTAGTCGATAATCGCTCTACTATTGCTCGTAACCTAGTTAAAGGACGAGTTTATAGCACCTAACTTTGTCTAGGCTATACGTTCCGAGCTACGAGTATCGGCGATCTTCTAGCACCTTTAATAGTAGTAGTAGCAGCGAAACCTAGCTATTATAGTTAACGATATTCTAGCTTCTGTAGTTCTCGTACGGATCTTGTCCGCTATCGCACGTACTAACATCTCTTGTCTACGCAGATTACTAAGCAATAGCGAGTTGATCTACGCTAGGAGATACTAGCTACTTGCTAGCTATTCTAGGGCCTTATAGAATGCGCTACTATTGTTAATACAAAGAAGCTAACAATAACGGTAGGTCGCGCTGCTTTACAAGCTCGTAGTGCTTTATAGGCTTATAGAGAGTCTTAAGTCGTAGGCGGCGGCGATTTACAAGCTCTAGATACTATCGAAGGCTCTATTAATCCTAAGCACAAGCACCGACTAATAGCAAAGCGACTAAATATACATATTAGCGCTTATTAGAACGAGGTAATCGACGAATATAGAGCTACTATTAACGTTAATATATTCGGTAGCGAGGCTAAGTATAAGGTAATAAAGTAGAAGATCTATAACACTAACTTCTAGAATCCTAAGCGTAACCTGCTTATAATGCATAGTCTTAAGATAACTGTTCGGCTACTTATCTAGGGTAGCTTCGATAGCGACGAAGATCAAAACACTAGGTGCCTCGCTTAGTAGATAAAGACACTCTACTAGCAGAACCCTCGCCTCTTTAATAGTCTATTGCTACGTACTAAGCAGGAGAAAGCTTAGGCGGCTAAGACTAAGCTTAAGCAGACGTTCGCTAGTAATGCTAATTATTCTAATATACAGACTAGCAAGCGACTCGTTTAGTATTGGTGCGACTAGCTTCTGCTATTGCTAATTCGCAACGATAGCGAGAAACTAATGCCGATACGAGCTAGCTTAAAGCAAGCCTATTAGCAGGAATATAGTAGACCTAATATTAATACGACTAACTCGGAGCCTATCTTCTAGTACAAGCGCTTTACGTTTAACACTGTAGCTGAGAAGCGTATTATACTAAAGCGAGGAGATTTCGTAGGTTACCGTAGCGGAGAGATTAGACTCGTCGACAAGATCTTCTCGTATAAGGTATACTTCTAAGCTATTATATTATATACACGCTAACTATTTAATTAACAGGCCTCTGCCGTCGCCGAGCGAGTGCTCTTTATCCGTATTTAGCTAACGACTAAGTTATTAGGACTAGATCTAGTTACCTAATTACCTGTCTACCGCCTCGATGCTAGTAATAAGAAGATTGTTATCGGCTTGCCTAGCATTAGCGGCAAGCGGGTCTAGATAGTGCCGTTCGAGCGTATTAATAAGGGCCTAGAGATAAAGCGTATTCCGGTCGACAAGATGCCTACTAGTATAGAGCTTCTATATATAGATTAGGACATTTAGTTCCTTTAGGTATATACACTAACTCCGCTAACAATATAGAGGTTACTAACTAATAGTAGGACTAGGTTTATCGTCTTCTTATAGAGCATTGTAAGTCTAATATCTAGTTACTTTTACACTATAGAATACTAACTATATATAGTGCCGCAACCTTCTAATTCTTAACTCTTACTAACTAGGTATACTTATCTACGTTGCTTTAACGAGCTATCTACTAACAGTCTCTTAGATCCGAAAGATTATCGACGATAATACTACCTAACAAACGATATTACCGTACGAGCGATCTTCGAGATACGATTGTAGTTTAGAGTTTAGAGTTTAGACTTTAGACTTTAGTGCGCCGGAGTATAGTAAAACAGCGGTAGAATTAGCACGCTATAGTAGTATTAGCAAGCACGGCGGCGTATAGAATGTCTAGTAGATAGCTAAGCGCAATAGCAATTGTAATGCATATAAATAGTAATTGTATATAAATAGTGCAGCGTAAATAAATAGTTATAAGTACGTACGCGGTTCTACCCGTAGAATAGTTCTTATTAGCGGAACGCTTCGTTAGAGTAGAACGGTTCCTTACTAAGAACTGTTCCTTATATAATAACTATAATAGTACTACTATCTAAAATCTACTATATCTAATAAGGACTATAATAACGCAGCTCTACAAACTATGCAGTTCTTATAAGGAGCGATATCGTTACTATATCGAAGCAGTTCCTTCGGACCCTAGATACGCGCTAAGGAGTGCTATACGTACTCGGCGTTCGGAACGATTATGTTTTAACGTATGCTTACTTAATTCTCTTTCGAATATACAGCTAAGAGAATACTGTACATTACAGGCGCACTTTAATTCCTAGTATATAATCTATACAAAGTGTAGTTAGCACCGTTTCGCTAAACCTCGTGCCTCTTCGTATCCCCAAGCGAGGTCTCGGCACAAGAGCTCCGTCTCGTTCAAGCACGTGGACGCCGAGCTAACCTTGGAAATCATCCGGCTCCGGCTCATAGAACTATGCCACTCTCGTCGGAGTGGCCGGAGGCTGATGAGTTTAAACAGCGCCAGAACCACTCTTGCCTGTGCGCCAACTCCTCCAGCCTTCGCTACCGCTTTTTCACATCCTTCTAACATGCAGCTCACACGTGTATGGTGCACGAGATACGGCTTCCGCGGGCTACGGCACTTATGACCTGACCACGCGTGCATGATCCTCTCTGTACTCCGAGGACCAGCATCGCAGAATCTTTAAGTCAGACCGACGACTCTGGTGGCGAAGTGTCCTCGCAACTCCAGTCTCCTTCACCGAATCGTCGTTCTGCCCAAATTGACTCTCGGAAGTGGTGGGTTGGGGTAACTTGAGGCCGAATAGCATGCTGCCATAAGATCTGTCTTCGAGCCAATAATACTATGCATCTCGATTCGTGCAAACGGCTCGCCCAGTCTAAACGTCACTCGGGAGACGGAGAAGCCCTCGCTGACGTTCTGCTGCTGCTGCTGCTGCAAGTCAGAGTAGTAAAAGCTGAAGGTTCGCTCAATCTGTGTTCGCGCGCTTCTGGCCCGGGACTCCAATTGGCACCGGAACGACCTCTGTTGAGGCACGTCATGATGCCGGATTGATCAAGTCCATATTGACGGGATATGGCCGCGAGACGTCCTCGCATCCAGCGACGTTGAATGTCGGGAATATCCTGCATGTTGGAAGCAGTATATAGCGGCCAGATGAGGAAATATCCGCCGATGGCTTGTGACGCTATTCCTTGTTAGCCAGCCCTTATTCTTTCCAGATTCTTGATCGAATTATTTTTCCTCACCATTTCTGATCTTCTTGCCTGCCTGCATGTTCTCGGAGAGGTCCGGGCCGTACATGTGAAACGGTACACTGTAGCAGATCTCGTCGACCAATGTCTGCAGTCGGTGTCTCGCGCTGATGAATCGCTCATCGGATGTGCACCGTGCCGGGTCTTCATTGAGCCATTTGAGAGCATCAATCACAATTGAGCAGCAAAGGATCTGGCTGACGCGATTATTGTTCCGGATGCATGCGATGTGGACGTCTTTATACACATGCATGGTTGGTCCGGGCCACACCTCCACGTCGTCGATACTGTCTACATCAGGTGCGCTGAAGCGGCGGTTTGCGATGGAGCGATAGCCCCACTGAGCCGGTATCTGCTGCTCCCAGTCTAGAAGTCCGCGCTGAATCTCGAATGCTTCAACGAGCATTTCGGTGACCTGAGCTATAGTTTGCGGAGTCTTCTCCGAGAGAAAGAGAGGCTTGGCCTTGGTGAGTAGTGTCGGCAACCGCACAGAATATTTGATGAGTGTGGAAGCAGCATTCTGGTCTTCGCCAATATCTCCGGCCCACCCTTTGGCTCCGGGAAAGTCGGGAATATCTCTGCATTGTTGGATGGCGTTGGTGAGCATTTGCGTCCGAACTGCCCGGAAGAGCAGTAGAGATTGAGGGTTGGCGAACTGTTGAGGTCCTCTCGCCCTCACAATCGCTACAGCACCTTCGATGTGCTTGGCCCAGGCCTGCACTGATCGCTCAGAGCTTGTGACCGATTCGTACAGCGAGAACATGAGGATGGCAAGAAGAGTCGTATCACTTGTGGCCTCTGCTGGATCCTGTAGTGCTTTTTGTGTTGCCGCAAGTGCCTGACCATATAATCGCGCCGACTTTTGCTGCAAGTGTCGTCGTCCAGGCCAATTGGCTATGATTGAGACCGACACAGCTTCTGTTGCGAGATGCAGCGGCGATCCTTCTTTACTGGCGTTGAACAGAGGCACGGCTAGTTCGAGAAAGCCTCGCGTTGTCTCTTTGTTTCTCGGAGGTAGGACGAAGTTGTTGAAGAAGAATGCCGTGGCCTGCTTTTCGATTGTAGGGTTAAGTGACATTTGTTCGACGAGATCTGCTGTATGGCCGGCCGGGCTTCCGCGCGATGCTGGGGATACATCGCCATACCGGTGGTCGAGTTGCGATGTAGAAGGCTGTGGACTCTCATACTCCTTCGCTAGCTTTTGATGCTCTCCACACTCATCGACAAGAGTCTCGAGTACGGCGACGTCGGTGTTGCTCTTCCCTTTCTTGCCTTTCTTGCGAGAGGCTCCAGGTTTTTCTGCACGAAAGATGAGATCTACCTCTTCGGGCAAGCCTGGGCACTCCCGATTCGTCTTGATGCAATTATTGCATGCTGGTCTTGTCTCATCACACTACTCGCGAACGGGTCAGTATGTAGATTGTGTTCCTGTCGCGACTGCTTCCTAAATAGGCATCACGCTCCCGGATTACGCACCTTGATTCGACGAGTCTTGCATGCTTGACATCCCCGTGAAGGCCGCCCAAGGTACACCTGTCAGTAATCAATATCAGTCTTGCGTGAGTACTGCCGATTGTGGTGCCGAGCTTACCATGTCCACTACTCGGTGCGGTGGTCATTCCGGCGTAAACACGCAAGGCTATGCTACCGGAAGAAAGGCTCAGGGCAAGGCGAATATACTAAGTGGTGCTTTCCGACACAGGAACCGGACGCCGCATACTTCTTTACATACGTTGCCCACTACATGCAGCTTCAGGAGTGGCCTTGTGTGGCACAGAACGAATGGAAGTATAGCAAGGCCCATTCATGGAGACGGGTGCGGCTGAGCCATGGCCAGGAGGACCAGACGCCGATATCGATCGTATTGAGGAGCCACTACTGTTCAGTCGGCCATGTATGTGGCAAGCAGCGCCGATATGTTCAGCATATCAGATGAAACGGTGGGTGCTAGCGGCATACATGAGTCGGCGTAGCGGCATAGAAGACATGTCACTGCCTCCGATCAGCAGGCAGACTTCCTTGCGAGTGAAGGTAGATCGGATAAAGATAGCTCTCTAGCACATGCTCGACATAGCCTCAGTAAGAGAGTTCGCAAGTTGCATGAGGATGGGCGTTAGTAAGAGACACTTTCGCCTTCCTGATTTCGGCCTTGGTGTCGCCCTACGTTTTCTGGACTGAGCAGATGCGAAAGGTTGTGCTTCGGCATACCGGGTTTCGACTTGTGTGGACCGTTCAAGGATTCACTGCTCAGCCATGCTGAAGTCAATCTCAACCACCACACGCACGACACAATAATCGAGTTCTATAGCCATCCACATACACGTGCTGTTGCAGTACAGTCGCAGCATGGCAGATACTCGGCAGCGAGTCCTTCCCAATGCCCCGCCGCCCCTTAGTTCTAGCCACCGACGCAGGCACAACGCCCAAGCACACTGCCAGGCACCCAAATTCCCTTTTCGGTCTCCATCGCGCGCGCAACATCTTCACTGGTAATAATGGCAAGGCTTCTTCAATCCCCTTTCGAGATGTCTTTGCGCTGTGCACCTGTCTACGAGGTCGGATATAAACATCTATCGCGTAACACAGGGTAGGCCCACACATCTCACATACAGCAACATTCCTGCAAACAGGCCTACCGTATAAACGAGAGCGCCGAAAAGACATCCTCTCAATCCTTCCTACCACATCCTTAACTCCAGCCAAGCATAGTCAGCCTCGACAGCCGTGGCGATCTTGCCATTGCTGAAATTGTATTCTATGCCCCAGCATTGCTGATTTCGGTGTGGATTGATCGTGGCGCTGATTCTGGGGATTGTGGGTGGTGGAGTCGGACTCGGACAACGTCACAACTGGTGCAGACTGCATGAAAGCTGCTTCGATTCTGTACCTGCAGGTTTTGATTGCCCCTGGCCGCTTTGACAGGTCTCACCGCTACACGAATGGGCCCATGTCCCGCATACCGAGACGAAGATGCTGTATGCCAGCGTCTTCGTCTTGCCCTTCCTTCTGGCCAGGGTCATCTACACAGTGGCATCATAATTCGGCGGTCCAGGCTCCATCTTCTACTTTAAGACGCCCAATGTCTTTGTTGAAGCATTCATGCTGTTTCTGATGGAGGCAATCGTGGTGTCGATCTACATGATCGCCGGCCTGACGACTCCGAAGCAAGTCGTTGCACAAGCCCAACAAGGCATGTCGGATGTCGAAATGAAGGCGGCTTCCGGCGGCCTGCCAGAAGGAAATGGGTACGGCGCGCGCATGCCTCCCGCACGACAGCCAGCTTATCAAGACTCGCGACGGCCTCAGAGAAGTCTTGGAGATTATCGACCAAGCCGGATGGATGATCCGCAACGCCATTAACAATCGCTAAAATATCGCCGCTGCAAAGCATGATCTGAAGGACCAGTGAGTGCGAGCATCAGGAGGTTACAATGTGTGAAGGAAAACTAGCAAAAAAGAAGTGCTCTTGTGCAGCGTTCGAGCGAGTTTTCATGTGCATCAGAACAGCGAATTGTAGATTTCATGCATTGAAAAGAATTGAGTCATCTATATTTCTTTCACTTTCAATCAAGCCCTGCTGCAGGTGCTAATCGAAGACCGACTACTAAGGTAGTCATGAGTGCCGATTCACTATTTGAGTAACTATCCTCACATGCTCGTCATTTCCATTCACTTCGTACCTCAATAAAAGTGAGTTTCGCACTTCGTTATCTGTTCACATGAACCCCTTGCATCATCGGGAACAATCTCTCAAACAGTTCAAGAAAATCTCATCCGACGCCGCGACACTCTTCAACCACATCACATACACCCAAGATGGCAACCGATTCGGAACTCTGGGCTAGAGGCCCGGCGGAGTTCATCAGACAGCAGATCTCAGATCAGAAGAAGGCGGAAAAGAAGCGCATACAAAAATGTCATGTTGCTGGCGTTCTGGACGGCGTTAGCATTATCGACTTCGCGGAGACATCAGCCAAAGCGATGAGCAGTTCTGTTGACGCCGAAAAAACGTAAGTGGCATCTGTTCCAACAGCGCCGCATGCACTGACGCGCGCGGAAAAGCAGGCACGCTCAAGAGCAGTGAGGAAAGTTTGGTCGATCAAAAAGCATTCATTCCATGCTCTACTTCGAAAACGTCCCCCTCCTGAAAAAAATCCACCAGGAAAAAATTCGGTCGCCGCTCATACAGGCCTCGACACCGCACCGCATGTTCCCCCAACTCCCCAACACGAAAGCCCGCAGAATTCGTGGTATTGGCGAACGTCGCGTTGGGATACCGAAAGCCCAAAAACTGCGCGTACAGGAAATGATTGACCAAACTCAACCGGTCGGGAATGTAACCTCGAATCCACCAGGGACGATTCGGGACACAGCGGTATTGGTCGGGGGCGTCGTTGATGAAGTCGGTTTCGAAAACGTAGTCGAATTCGGGGAGGAGGAAGGGGACGATGTCCTCGTGTGCGTCGGTGGAGAGGAATGTGACGAGGCGTTTGTTGCTTGCGACCATTTCTGCGATCGTGGGCCAGTCTGAAATTCTCATGTTCCCGTAGCGTTTGTAGATGGGAGGGATGTAGGACATTACGTCTAGGCCTGTGTCGTAGTAGGCTTTGAACCAGTGGGAGAGAGGGGGGCCGGTGTTGACGAAGAGGAGGGTTACGACTTCGTAAGGGTTGGCGTCGAGAAAGGTTTTGATTGTGCGGAGATGGTCGTGGAGACTGCCGCCGTCCATCAGGGCGCAGTTGAAATGGCAGAGGCGGATTTCGTCGGTGTTGTTGATGAGGTCTCTGTGGCCTTGGGCTTGGATGAGGCGGACTCCGGCTTCGAGTTGGACTGATACGTTGAAGTATTGGTTTCCGGAGATGCTCCAGTTGTTGTCTTTCGTCCTTATGGCGGCGGCATCGTGGGTGCCAATGAAGGTCTGCTCCGAGTACCTCTTGTGATACAGTTCGGGCACAGGGATGCGATGCCCTGGCCGTTTTGGACGCGGGTCATCGTCGCTGTGTAGCCATAGCGGAGGAGGCTTGATGACTTGCTGCGACTGTCGAGAGGCGTCGCACAAGCTTATTATGGAGAGTGAGAGTAGCCAGTGGATGTGCATGACATTGTCGTCCACTCTCAGCTGCAGGAGGGGAGTCGCCAGAATAGCGACCCAATCGACCTCCGCCAAGGCCGGCGTCTGACGGTGTGACGGTGGTCGCTGAGCGGGGCAATGGAGGCCGAGCTTGCATAACGTCAAGATCATCCGCCGAATGCGAGAGCAGTGTGCCACGGAAGGATGGCCGACAGCGGTATGGCTGTTTCATACCACGCGGAAGCATTTCTCTCTCTACTGTCCCTGATGATTCAGCCGTCTTCACCATCAAAGCTGGATCAAGATGGCAAAAAGCAGTCACAGCTGGTATACATTCGGCGTGGCCATCTTCGCAGCCATAGGCACATTATTCTGTAACTATGTGACCCACGCCCAGCATTGAGCGATTGCTGACAAGCCCTTGCCACCAACACCAGTCGGCTTTGATACTGGAATTGCCACCACCACCATCGCCCACAAAAGCTGGATCGAGTACATGAACCATCCTTCTCATGGCCTCACTGGCGCAGTCGTAGCTGTTTACATTGCCGGAGAGGCTGTAGGAGCACTAATCCAGACCTTTACTGGGGATCGACTCGGACGTATCCGATTCATGCAAATGATGTGCATAATTGTGACCATCGGCGTGGTCATACAGACAGCCGCTGTCAATGTGGGCATGTTCTTGGCTGGCCGCGTGCTTGCGGGAGTCGCTGTAGGAGGTATGGTAGGAACGGTGCCCATCTACCTCTCGGAGATCTCAGCACCACATCAACGTGGGCTCATCGGAGGGATCTCAGGCTGTGGAATCTCTTTCGGAACCATGGTGTCAAATTGGGTGGGCTTTGCTTGCGGCCACGCGCCTTATGGGCCCGTTCAATGGCGCCTCCCTCTCGGCATTCAAATTCCCTGGGGCATCATTCTATTCGTCGGCTTGATGACTTTCATGCCTGATTCACCTCGCCAGCTGCTTCGATCCGGAAAGGTCGAAAAAGCTCGGACGGAGTTCATGAGGATTCGTCGAGACTTGCATTCACATGAAGCATTGGAGGAATTCGCCCTGATGCATGCTCAAATTGAATACGAGATGGAGCGCGAGATCAAGTCATACTCTGAGATATTTAAGCTCTTCCGACACCGTGCTTTGGTTTCCATTGCCGTTCAAACCATGACGTCTCTGACGGGCGTCAATGTGATCCAATATTATCAGACGATTCTTTACAAATCGCTCGGCATCCAGCAAACCACAATTCTGGCTTTGGCTGGACTCTACGGAACGATGGCATTCCTATCCAACGTCCTCACGACGCGCTTCCTCACCGATCAATGGGGTCGTCGCAAGATGATCTTGACAGGCTTGGCAGGCATCATTGTGATCGAAATCTACGCCGCTGTCATGCAGCGCGAATTTCAGAACACCAACAATCGCGTTGGCAAAGGCTTCGCAGTCTTGGGCATCTATCTCTTCGTCGTGACCTACTATGGTATGCTCAACAGCACGACCTGGCTGTACGGAGCAGAAGTTCTACCAATAGCACTCAGAAGTAAAGTCATGGGCTTGGCTGCAGCGAGCCACTTTATCGTCAATGTCGCAAGTAAGTATGAACGAACGCACAACATCAACTTTTGCTCACGACCTAACGAAACCTTCTTATCTTAGTCACCGAAGCCGGCCCTTCTGCTTTCGCCACAATTCACGAGAACTACTACTATGTCTTCGTAGGTTGTACGCTCTTCTTCCTGGTGATTGCGTATTTCTACTTTGAGGAAACTAGGCACAAGACACTCGAAGAGATCGCCGCTGCGTTCGGCGATCGTGTCGTCACCTTGACAGAAAGGGATCCGACGGCTGAGGAGACTACGTTCCATGGCAAGGATGTCTTTGCGGACCGAATTGATGCTAAGAAGTCGGTGGAAAGCTGAGTCCGTATACCTCACAATCCAGGCAGTTCTACTACGATTGCCATGACCGCGATTTCCAAATTTCTCCAAATTCAGCTCAATGCGCAGAACTTCACAAGTGTGACTCCGCACATGAAGCGCCTGCTGTTCATCTATGCGATTCTCCCATAACGCCATCGCTCAATGCTCCATGCTCCATGCTGGGTTGTTGGAGCCAAATCATGCTCCTCAATCTGTAGAAGTCTCGGGGGCTATCATAGTATTCTGTGTGGTCGTAGCTGTTCGTAAATCGCTCAAGCCCATGGACCAGTAGCAAGGGCATATTGCGTGATCTGGACGTCCTTGGTCTTGATCACTGTCTCGACCATTCTGCCACTGCCACGAATGAGAGCGGCGACTTCGCTGGGATGGATGATGTTCATGGTGACCATGGCGAGGAACATCATGCAGGCCTGTTCGTCGTCCTTTAGCCAAGCCGTGGAGAAAATCAGAAGTCTTACTACTCACATCAAAGACATAAAGGTACCACTCGCGGCTGATAATGTAGCCATCGAAACCCTGGCCGTACTCTACCATGCGAACAATCGATCCTGATTATAGCATGTCAGTCCAAAATGTTAGTTAGTTCCTCGAGGTTGACACTTGCGAATGAAGATTAGGATGCTGACGATGGACATGGAAAAGAGGTGCTTCTGCCATGGCAGCTTCTTGCACTTCGGCGTGGGGTTGTTGTGAGCACGGATATGGAACACAACTCCGGAAAGGACAAAGAGTCCAAAACAAACGACCTGGAGTCCCAGACCAGCAAGTACAAGCTTCTCGCCAATGTTGATCATGCTGCTGCCGCCAGCCATCAGGCCGCCACCACTGGCTTGCATGAGGAAAGAAAAGCAGTCGCTGCCGACGAAGAGCCGCGTGAGCCAGGTACGCCGGATGAAGAGAAGGTGGTCGCCATCAACCATGAGCACGATGCGGGCGAGTTCCATGTAAATCGATGCAGCGAAGAGGGCGGGCGCGATGAGCAGGAAGAGCGACTGAACGATGTAAGGTCCCAACGTCCAATTGGGGGTCTCCGAAGCTGAGGCAGCTCGACCGCAGTAGCCAATGAACTCAAAGCAGCCGCCGGTGAAGAAGGCAATCATGAACCAGGTGCGGGTGCGGAACATTTGGTAGCCATGGAGCGAGGTTGTTGCGAGGAAGAGCAGGATGAAGACGACCTGGTAAGGAGTCAGTGGCGGCATGGCTGGTATAATGTGCGGACTCTGATGCTTACCGCAGCTGCGATACTGGGATGGTAATGGTAGTATTCAAACCCAGAAAGGGCATTTTCTTCGCGTGTTTGGAGCGACATGATGGCGGCGTTGATGACGCGGGCAGTGCTGTGTTGTGCTGTATACCTCGGAGTCTGATGCTGGAAGTGTAGAGAGAATTCTTCCAATCTTGGTCTTTATGCACCGCACCGCTAGAACGCTTGTCGAAGGAAAGGAACCAATGGTATAAAGAGTGGGAGTGTTCTTGCGACGTTGATGTCGAAATGTTGTCGCCTTCGGCTCGGTGGATCTCCAAACGCGAGGAGGCCAAGCCTCAGCCACACGGGCGGACATTGCGGCAACATATCCCAAACAGTGCTTTCGGATTTTGTTGATAGTAGTGGGTCCACCGTAATTTCGTCCATCGGATTCGACTACTGTACGTGCCTATGCGCATCGCATGTTACGTAAGATTAGGTACAGCCCTGCTTGGTCGAAGCGCGACTACCAGAAGAGGCGAAGCAGCCGAGAAGACGCGACGCTTCTTTTCTTTCGGTCCGAACCCGCCTGTACGGAGGCGAAACGGTGCCATGCAGGGCGATGCGATGCTTCCGCGCTTGCTATGAGAATATACGAAGAACATCAGGCACCAGAATTCTTGTGCGTTGCATTTTTGCGAATGCCGATCAGAGTCCGCGTCGACAATCTCCTATAAATTGATCGCCGAGCCACAGCTTCAAGGCGCTTGAAGATACGCGGCATCGAGGTTAGTCCTCAAGATTTCGATATTGATCTGAGTGGCCGAGAACATGCTCAGCAGTTGGAGAAGAGGACGCTCAAGGTCAACTTTCCCTCTCAGCTTCACTCCCAACATCGCTCAACTCTGCGCCGTCGCTTTCAGCCTTCATCTTCCCAAAGCTGAGACGCTGTTGTCCCTTTCCGCCTTTCTTCTCTCGCTTCTTCTTCGCATCCTTACCTTTGCTCTTCTCATCTTTCTCCTTCTTACGATCCTGCTGTTCCATCAACCTCTTCCTCTCGCCTTCTCCCTGCCTTGCAAGTTGCTTCTCAAGCTTCAAGAACTCTTCGCTGTCGGTGTCCATGCCAACCAGACTTTCGAGAAGCTTGATTTCTCGAGCCCAGATAGCCTTGTCCTCCTTCTCTTTACCTTTCTCATCCTTGACGAGATTGCCGTTTTCGTCGCGAACTTCGATCGGTGTTTCTAATACGAGCGGCAGCCCTTCGAAGCGAGCGTCGTTGACCAAATTATGGAAAGCCCTGAGACCAAGAAATCCAGTTCCAATGTTGGCGTGAAGATCTCTGTGCGATGCAAACGGTGCTTTGGAGTCGTTGATGTGCATTGCACGGAGGTATTTGGAACCCACAATCTCGTCGAATTGCTCGAATGTAGACTTGAATGCGTTTGGGGTGCGGAGATCATAGCCTCCGGCGAAGGCATGACATGTATCGATGCAAACACCGATTCGCTCCTTGTTCGAGATGAGGGCGATAATGTCCCGAATATCTTCGAATGTACTGCCCAACACATTGCCACCATGCGCCATATTCTCCAGCAATATCACGACGCTGGAAGTCTCTGAGTGTGCCTTGTTGATATTCTTGGCTAGTTGAGCGATTGCCGCTGCCCGATCTCCACATTGGTTGTTGCCAGGATGAATATTGTAAAGCTTGATGCCGAGTCGCTCGCAACGTTTGAGATCGTCGAGATGTGATTCATATGCCTGATCTGAGCGAGTCTTGTCGGTATGTGCAAGATTGACCAGATATGACCCGTGAGGCACCACATGCTTTCCTTGGTCGTAGCCATGTTTCTTGCAATTGTCGTGAAAGCCCGAGCAGTGTTCTTCTGAAAGGTCTGGATTCGCCCACTTGCGTTGCGACTTCAAGAATAAGGCAAATGCATTGGCTCCTATGTGAACGCTGTTCTGGATGGCGTTCGGCACGCCTCCGGCACTGCTGACATGTGCCCCTATGAAAAGTTTGCTTCCCGCACTCCGAGCAGCCAAAGGTAGCATCTCAGCCTCCTTCTCTTCCCTGGTCTTCCGTTTGCGCTTGCCTTTTGCCTCGTCAGTGTCTCCGTTCTCCTCCTCGTCCTCTTCAGCTTTGACCTCCTGCTTGACCTTGGTCTTTCGTTGCGCCTTGGACTCGGGCGACTGTTCAGCGCCTGCTTCAGTCTTTGCTTCTATTTCCGCTTCAATCTTCGCCTTGCGACTCTTGCTGGCTTTGGGGCTGTTCGTTACGGCAATTTCTTCTACGACTTCGCTCTTTATCTTGCGTCTCTTGCCGGGAGATGATTTGGTGTCATTGGTCACTTTTCCTTCTGCTTCGAGTATATCATCTGGAGCTGGCGACAATCTAGATTCATTTCTTTCTGCTTGCTTCACTGCCTTACGCTTGGGCATTTTGGCAGTGTGTCGTGGTAGAATGGTAGAAGTACATGTACATCAAGTCGCGTTGGATGACGCGCTCGACCTTTGAGACGCGATCTGCGTTTTGACGAGACCTTGTTCAATATTTCATGGAAGCCTTCAAAATCACGCCTTCCCAGTCTGCAACAACTCGAGACTCCGATCCGTCATGATTTACTTTGGAAAAGTAGTTGACCTTTCGAGTTCTAAATGAGAGACCGAATTTGAATGCATTCTCTCGAGAATAGTTCAAGCAACACACGAAGCTGCAAAGCTGGATGCATGTTCGGACATCATGGGCGGACATGTGATTCTCACATATCCTCATCTCTCAAGAAACGATAGACGTTGAGCATTTGATCTAAAACAGTTCTCATCCGCCCTACATCTTTCAGCGTCGACCCTTCCAGCCCATATCTCATTCCATCATCCATGTATAGCGAATCTTTCCGAGTGAATGATCACTCATCACAATCGACGACTACGAGAATGGGATTTCAATACAAGAAAGTGCTCCTCATCGGCCCAACCTCCGGAGTCGTTGCGGTATTAGCCGAGACATTATTCCAGAATGATGTCTTCGTGATTGGCGTTGGTCGAAGAAAAGAGCATCTTGAGGAATTCGTCAATAAGCATGACTCTTCCAACACCAAACATCGTGACTTCGACATCAACGATCACCAAAGGTAAGCCGAGAAAGATGACGAACTAAGCAGGACTGATGGAATATGGCAGATACCAAGCTTCACAAGTGAGCTTTTCAAGACACCGACTTCGTCTTCGCTAATGCTGGCATTCAACGAGCTCTCGATTCCACCAAGCCGGAGAACGTGAATTGATCTAGGAACCTTCGGCTTTGAGCTGAAGGCGAATTATACAGCACCAGTCTATCTGAGCAAGGCGATATTCCTTATCTGACAGCTAAATCACGATCGACAGGACAGCATTGGCCTCTACCACGACTCAGCTGGCAGTCGTCACTCTCCACAGCAGACCCAACTATGGAGCTTCCAAAGCCGCTCTCTACCATTCTGTGTTGGCACTAAGGCACCAAGGGAACGAAGCAGGCCAGCAATTCAATGTTCTAGAGGTCTATCCGTAAGTATATGCATGCTATGGACTTCCGCTTGCCAGTTTCTAGATCCGCCACACAGACTGAGCTCTACGACTCCAAACATCAGCCAGATCTCGGGAATGGTGACCAGATCGACATGTCCCTAAACGCGTTCAATGATCAGCTCTAGCAAGACCTTCAAGCAGGGCACGAAGAGATCGCTATAGGAACCGCAAAGGACCTATTCGATGGTGAGAGGACAAGAAGTTCAACAAAGTATTGCAAGAGGCGTTGAAGGACTTCTTGGCATAGAGTATGTAGATGCATAGAGAAGTCATCTATTACCACCCCCCGAAAAAAAACCCCCAAGCCGTGTACATGTATTATCGCCGGGAATGCTCTTTCAAATATGCACACACATCCCCCCCAGCTCGCCTCCACCAACCCTCTTGTCGCCCAGACCAAAGTATCAACCCCCATCCCCCTCTTGTACACCCAACATCCTCATCCACATCCACACATCGCCCACCCCTCCCTCTCCCCTTTCCCATCTTAACAAAAACACTGCCCATACGCCCCCTCAGGCGTAGCCCCACAACAACCCGCCGCCCCACAAGCCGCAACAGTTCGATACCCACCCGTCGTAGGATCACAATACGAAAGCAATTCATGAGAATCGCCGCAAATGAATCTATGAAACGGCGTCAGCGATGCCATCCAATCCATAATCCCTATCCATCACACAATCGATCCGCTACGTTAAGCTCCACTCCACTCCGCTCAAAACTTACCCTTCCCCCCCAACCTGCGGACAACCCGTAGGACCGACACCCGCGGCCAAACCGTAATTCGGGTAGGGCGCGGAACATAGAGGGTTTGTGAGAGGATCACAAGCGTTGGGTTGGCGGCAGAGTTCTTTCCATGGAGGACAGTGGAGACGAGGGGTGCGGCCGCCGGATTGTAAGGGGAGGGTGAGGGAGAGGACTGTTGAGGTGAAGGCCAGGAGGAAGGTCGGGAGGAGGAGGAGGAACATTGTTGTGGTGGGTTTGGTGGGAAACGAAATGAGTGGATAGGCTGGAGGGAGCCTGTGGTGGAGGAGAAGGATTTGTTGTTGTTTTTGTGGGAAGGAGAGGACGAGTTGGGAAGAAAAGACTTACTTTCGACAGGAGGTGTGAGGCTCAGTTGTGAGTGTGTGGACCAATGGTGTTGGTAGCAGTACAATTGGGTTTGATGATGTATGGCTGGTGCTTTGTTTTGGATCTGTAGGTTCGCCAGCCTAAATCAGCCTCGCATTGCCCCTGGTCCTTGTAGACGGACGACCACGGACGACGGATTCTTTAAGCTTATTCCAAGCACACACGGACGCGACGCTTGCGATCAGCAATAATAATGCGCTTCACAGTTCGTGCACGGCTCGAAATACTGTACCATCCGCTGCCTCAAACTCCGAAGTGTTGTCGAGCTCTTCAAGGGCCAACGTCGAACTTCATGCGAATACCCATGGCCGCCAGTTCCACGTCAAGATATTTCAACACACCCGGCACAGCAACGACCGTGACATCATCACCACCAAACCACTTATCGCCTTTATGGTCTTCCCAACACTCGCTCTTGGAATCTGAGGAAAGAGCTCTTCTCGAGCATCTCCTACATCTGACACGCCCGCCTTCTCGCCGTCTGGTGTACTGTCCTGAACTCGGCTGCACTGACAGGAAGCTTCCACACGCCTTGCAAATACTGGCTTTTGTGTAATCCGAGCAGTTCATGAGACGGTCTTGCAGCAGGAAGGACGTGCCGTGGGCAATGAGAGCATCACGCTCCATCTCACCAACACGGATCCCGCCTCCTTTAGCTCTTCCTTTGATCGGTTGTCCTGTGAGGGGTGTGACAGGACCGGTCGTTCGGACCTGGAACTTGTCATTCACCATGTGCCTGAGACGCTGATAGTAGACCACACCGATATAGATGTCGGCTGCGAGCTCCTCGCCCGTAATGCCGGAGTACATTGGCTCGTTACCGTAGTAATTGTAGCCAGCGCGCTTGAGCTGGTGACCGAAGTACTCTATCGCAGTTTCACCTTCCTTGTCCTTGAACTTGAAAGGAGTTGAGTCCTGCGCCAAGCCGTGTAGTGCACCAGACTTCCCTGCTAACGACTCGACAAACATGCCAATGGTCATTCGCGAGGGGAAAGCGTGAGGATTGATGATGACATCCGGCTGCATGCCGCTTTCTGTAAATGGCATGTCGACTGTTGGCCACTTTTGCGACATGACACCTTTTTGTCCGTGTCTTGAGGAGAATTTGTCACCAATGACTGGCGGTCGAGGTATCCGGAAGCGCATACTGATGGCTTGGCAGGGCTCGTTGCTGCCAGTTTCGTTGCCGATCAGCTTAATTTCTTCCACGTAGCCTTCCTCGGCTTCTTTGTACTTTTGAATGTGAGTGACACCGTCTTTGTTCTCGTACTCTCCAGTCAGCGGATTCTTGACAACGGTGTAAAAAGCAGCAATAGCATCGCCCTCTTTCACCTTGACACCAACTTGTGCAAACCCGTCATCATCAAGTGTGTTTCGCCATTGCGCTTTGATGATGCCAGTAGGCGCAAAGCCAAACATGTGTGTGACGACTGTGCTTCGGCCTCGGGCCGCTTTATTCTCCTCGGCGAGGTCGATCTTCTTCGCCTTGTAGATCGTGCCGTAGCCGAAACCTCTCTCGTGCGCAGACTTGTTCAGAATCATGGCGTCATCCATGTCGTATCCGGTGTACGATATAACAGCGACGACTGCATTTGTGCCGTTTGGAAAGTTGTCGAGACCATATTCATTGTGCTTTGGTGTTCGGACGACAGGTGTCTGGCCAGTCTGCAGACGATACGATTTGTTGTCCGTTCGATATTTCAGCGCCGTTCCTGGCGTACCCATGGTCTGCTTGCCCATCTGACATTGATACCTAAGAGAGAAGAGTTAGTAACTGTCTCAAGGGTAAATGGTCACTCCAAGAACGTACATATTTCTGGGCGACTGGTTGAAGTTCGAGAAGGGTGTCTGGTTTGCGACAATCGAGAGGATGTTTGTTACATCATATTCGACATGCGTCGTATCTCCAGATGATATTTCTGGCTCTGTGCATGCGATGGACATGTACGGCTGCTCAAAAGGTCCGACAAAATCCTCTTTATCAAGCGGCAGATACTTCACAGGCCGGAGCATTCGTGCAGCTTGAGAGAACATGTATACTCCCGGGTACTGACCGCCATTGGAGAGTGGTACGTAGCCAACCTCGAGCTCTTTTGGCACATTGTGCGTACCTTCGACTTTCCAGTATCGTAGTGTATCTGCAATCGTCTTGGCTTGCTTCGGCGAACAGTAGCCAAGTACGCGGCCGTCTAGCTGCACCACCACGCTGTCATGGAGTGTTGGCTCGGAAGTGCTCGAGACACCAATCTGAGCAACAAGGGCAGGCACATGGGAGACGTCTGTGCTTGAGGTTTCAACTTTGCATTTGTGTGCCAAATGGTTTAGAAGACCACAGGGAGATCCATCGGGAGTGTGGACTGGACAAAGAAATCCCCAGCTTTCCGGTAGCAGTTTGCGGACTGTGGTGGTTTTGAGCTGGGCGAAGAAACTTCCTCTGTGCACCATTCGGAAGTGGCTGATAAAGCGGTAGAAATTAATCTTTTCAGCGACTACCGTGAAGCCAGACACCTGCTGCAAATCAAGTCCTGAAGGGCTCACAAGGTTGCCAGTAGCCATGAAATAATCCAGTCCTTGCCCGATGTTCTCATTCGTTTTGCGTATGACTTTCGGTGCAAAGTCGCGATCAAATTCAGCACTGGTAAAAGAAGGCCAATTATTTGTGCGCCCGTATTCTCGCGATTGAGCGCCGATCGAGTTGAGCCATTCCTCAATCCGTTCTTTGACAATCATGCCGTATAGCGCTCCGGGGAGGAGAATTTCCTGGTTCTGTACAGCATCCGGGTTGTCAACCGCGCACTCGCCTTCAACAAGTGCATAGAGCTTCCTGATCATGAACAAGAGCATTCTAGCCTTATCAGCATCGTTCGCCTCAGTCACATCGTAGCAACCCAGGTGCGGTAAGACGATCTTGCGCAGCAACTCAGTCCCGCACGCCTCATCTGTCGCATCGTCCGGCATTCCGAGCACGACTCGAAATTTCGATCCAAGGTATGCTCGTGTCTTCGCTTTACTGTGTATATTATACGCCTTGTATGTCCGAAGGAGGAGCTCCACGCGATCTGAAACAAATTGCTTGCTTTCAAGGTCTTTTCCACCTGCTGGTCCGACGAGTCCTTCGAAAATTTGTCGATCGTTCGTTTCCGTGAGTGCCTTGAGTATCATGAGCACTGGCACAAGATATTCATTCTTTCTCCAAGAGAATCGGAACGTCACGTTGCCATCGCTGAGATAATGCAGCACATTCGTCTGCGATGTCTGGTCTGGTCGCACGGATCTGATCTGGACACCATATTTCGTGTATGCTGCGCCTCGATTCACGAATGAAGGCCGCTCAATGGCCATAGGAAAGTTCCTCCGATTCACGATCAGCATCCGTATGAGCTTTTCGACGCCGTTGATGATGAAATATCCTCCCAGCTCGTCCGACTCTTCTCTCCGATTGACCAGCTCTTTTGGCGACAGAGCCTCCAAGTGGCACCTGTTTGAGCGCAGCATGATCGGCAGTTCGCCAAAGTCGCGCACTGTCTGCTTCCATGCTCCATCGTTGACCCTGTACTCTAAGCGACCTCGAAATCTCCCGCGGTAGCTTTTGTGCGATTCCCGTCGCTCTACTGGCAAAATCTCTCGTTTTGTCGCTTCCACCTTATTTGATGACGGCAACTGGCTTCTTTCTAGAAACACATCCTTCACTCGCACCTGCAGCCTGTTCCGCCTCACGTCTGCCTCCAGACCATTTCCATCGAGGAAGGTCTTCGTGCCAATGTCTTTTAGCCCGTGCATCAGCTGGCCATTTTCGGCGAATATGGCGTTGAAAGAATCGACGTGAGGCTTGATTGCAGCCTGCAATTGCGGGTATGCGCTCTTCTTGGGCGGGTTTCGAAAAAGAGCTTCTCTTTTCAGGGTGTCGTACTCTGTCGACCAGGCGTCGGCTCGAGGTCGCTTCGCAGGTGGTGGCATTGTGAGGCTCGACAGAATCATACGGTGGTATTGGGGGCGATTCTTCCAGGTAGCCTAGCGACAATGCTCACATCGCCTTTCCCTACAGACTGCAGAATCGGATGGCACATCTTCAAAAGCAAGCTCGGTTCGCTCTTTCCTAGAAATTTTGGAGCTAGACCCTAGCGCCGGGTAGGTGACAAGGATCAGCCTACCTGTTTCTCTAATCAAAGTTTGATGGGCGTCTTTGTTCGATCTGCTTTTTGCCCGAGTGGTCTCCCGAGTCCTTCTCCTCGGTGCCTCCCACCCCCTACCTCCATTCAGGCTCGTGGACATAAAGAATTGAGTTGCGTGAAGGTGAATGGGGATCATATTGCGACCGAGTGCACGTGATAGATTAGTAATTAGGGCTAGCTTCCGAACTTACCGACAACTAATTACGAGTACTCTACCTAATTCTTCGCCTACGAGCCTAATATAAACCCGTACGAAACTAGCCTACTAAACACTAATATAATACTACAACATATATAAGACATTCTAAATAGCGGAGGTTGTAGCCCTGCTAATTGCGCTTTATTCTACCTATTAAAAAAGTCTATATAACGTTAGCGTATTAAGTTTTCGCTATTCTACTAAGCCGACTCGACTATAGCTATCCGGATTGCTAGGCGGCTAGCTATACTGCTAGAAACACCTTAATATATAATATACCGCATCGCCTAGCTAATACTTAGAGGTCCTTCTCCTAACGCTAGTAATTATTATTTAGATAGGCGAAAATTCCGTCCGATGCCTACTAACTACTCTATAGCCTTCGAGGGCAATCGACAACCTTCCTATAGCCGACTCGATACTTCGAGGTCCTTCGTAGACTATTTCTAAACACCTTTTGTATATAGTATAAGTCTATCCGAGGTATAGTTATTAAGTTGCTGCTATATAGCAGACGCGACTCTAAAGCTAAGGTTAAAATACCTAAAAGTCGCTACTAGCACTACTACTATAGCTGCTACTACCGCTGCTACTACCGCTACTACTACCGCTAGTAGACTGCTAGTAGACCGCTGCTACTATAGCTGCTAGCACCGCTGCTACTATAGCTACTAGCACCGCTACTACTACCGCTAGCAGACCGCTAGTAGACTGCTACTACTATAGCTACTAGTACCGCTACTACTACCGCTACTACTACCGCTAGCAGACTGCTACTACTACCGCTAGCAGACCGCTAGCAGACCGCTAGTAGACCGCTACTACTATAGCTGCTACTACCGCTACTACTACCGCTAGCAGACCGCTAGTAGACCGCTACTACTATAGCTACTAGCACCGCTACTACTACCGCTAGCAGACCGCTAGTAGACCGCTACTACTATAGCTGCTACTACCGCTTCGTATAGCAATAACGGTAGGTATATATCGGACGATATCTAGTAGCTTAGTAGCGATTAGATTCGCGAGAAGGTCGCTGCATTTAACTAAAGTAATAAGGAGTACTTCGAAGGTCGTTCTACCGTTACGGATGCGGTCGTAGAGGATATAGAGGCTGCTAAGGCTAGTCGTAAGGCTACGACTAATCGTAGTAATATATAGGGTACTACTATCGATAAGACCGATTCTAAGTAGGTCGATACTATCTAACATACTAATAGATAGGCTTAGCTTATCGATACGAAGGTTAAAGTAGTCGATACGATAGGCGGTAACTAAGATATAGATAAGGGCAGCGGTTATAGCGACTAAGGAATAAATAAATATAGCTTTTATATTCGTTTATAGTAATCTAACCTGCTATATTTACTATTTAGGCCTTCCTTACTAGCTTTATCTCTTAGGTACTAGCTTTATCTTCTAAGTGCGCTTACCGCCGACAACGATAGCCCCGTTAACTAGGCAGTTAGCGGCGAAGTAGTAGCGGTAGACTAGATTGCGTACCTCCTCGGTAGTAGACTAGATTGCGTGCCTAGCGGCGAAGTAGTAGCGGTAGACTAGATCGCGTGCCTCCTCGGTAGTAGACTAGATTGCGTACCTAGCGGCGAAGTAGTAGCGGTAGACTAGAGTGCGTGCCTCCTCGGTAGTAGACTAGATTGCGTACCTAGCGGCGAAGTAGTAGCGGTAGACTAGAGTGCGTGCCTCCTCGGTAGTAGACTAGATTGCGTGCCTAGCGGCGAAGTAGTAGCGGTAGACTAGAGTGCGTGCCTCCTCGGTAGTAGACTAGATTACGTGCCTAGCGGCGAAGTAGTAGCGGTAGACTAGAGTACGTGCCTCGTCGGGGGTATTTATAAAGTCGAAGGGTTTAGCTAGGCGTACGATAATAGCTTAATAGCCGGCTAGGCTAGGCTAGGCGTACGATAATAGCTTAATAGCTAGCTAGGCTAGGCGTACGATAATAGCTTAATAGCTAGCTAGGCTAGGCGTACGATAATAGTTTAATAGCTAGCTACGAAGGGGTTGGCTAGGCGTACGATAATAGTTTGCTTAATAGCTAGCTAGGCTAGGCGTATAATAATAGCTTGATAGCTAGCTAGGCTATACGTATAATAATAGCTTAATAGCTAGCTAGGCTAGGCGTATAATAATAGCTTAATAGCTAGCTAGGCTATGCGTACGATAATGGTTTGATAGCTAGCTACGAAGGGTTTAGCTAGGCGTATAATAATGGCTTGATAGCTAGCTAGGCTATGCGTATAATAATAGCTTAATAGCTAGCCAGGCTATGCGTATAATAATGGCTTAATGGCTAGCTAGGCTATGCGTATAATAATAGCTTAATAGCTAGCTAGGCTAGGCTAGGCGTATAATAATAGCTTAATAACTAGCGTTACTCTAACTAGCGGCAGTCGGAGTCTTAGTTAGAGTAGAGGTCACTACTATTAGCTTCGCTTTAGACTTAGTTCCTATATAAATTCAGAGCGCCTAATGCTAAAGGAGGCCTCCGGTAATTTCAGTAAAGAGCTGCGTCGGCTAACGAGCGTAGAGTACATTCTGTTATCGTGCCGAAGAGCTTTTCAAACTAGCTATAGCCTAATACGAAGTCCTTGCCTATGCCTCGAGTCGCTAGCAATTCTAGCCTTAGGCATTTAACTAGTAGCAGTCGGCGGCTATTGCGTTAAAAGTGCGATAATATATAGCCGTTATTGTTGCCTTGCTATTATAGCGTAAATAGCGCAATCCTATTAGTAGAGGCAAACCTTACCTACGATACGCCAATATAGACCTACGCTTCCTAGTTTAACTTCTTCTTCTTCTTCTTCTTCTATATATACTAACATACTAATATCCCTAGCAATATACTAGCTATCGGCGTATACAATAGTATCGATACCTCTTTATCGCATATAGGTAGCTCTATAGCGATTAACACTATCTCCTAACTAGTCCTACGGCTTGCTACCGATAGAACCGCTTAAGTTAGTTAAGGTTCCTCGATCGGTAGAGTTTGTTTAGTCCTTCTTTTCTTTTAAGGTCTCCGATAGGCTTTGTCGACGCAAGACGTTACGAAGGCGACTCTCCTAGCGAGTAGGTTGTTTTCTATAGCTTTAGCGGGCGCCGACTACGTATCTAACCGAAAGAGTATAGTTTTTGTTAGAATATCGCAGTCTTAGTACAAACTGCAGAGGTCTTAGATAGATTAGCGGAGGTAAAAACTCTTTAGTAAGGTACACCTATAATACGGCTAACGGTCTAACTCGGTAAAAACTCTTTAGTAAGGTATACCTTAAGTAGCGGCTCGATAGCGACTCTCCTACTAAGTAGGTTAATAGGTTCGTAGCATTGCTATAGGTCTAACTTGGTAAAAACTCTTTAGTAAGGTATACCTTAAGTAGCGGCTAGGCCTAACTCGGTAAAAACTCTTTAGTAAGGTATACCTTAAGTAGCGGCTATAGGCTTCCTACGTTCGGATTCTTTATAGGATAATATACGCGTATCTAGTTAAGTCGGCGTAACGCCTTCGTTAGGACTGTTAGTTATAATAACCTTAGTACGTAAGGGCCTCTAGTATACTTAAGCCCGAAGGCGCTTAGTCTTAGTCTTATTCTTTACTACTATACGACTACAGCCCTTTGCGTATTAAGACTGCTATTCGACTATAGTGCGCACTAATCCGAAAGCGTATTAAGACTGTTATCCGACTGCAGTACGCCTCCTCTTCTATTCTAGTAAGCGCATCAACATTGCTATACGACTATAACGCGCTCGACAACCCTTTTTTTTCGCAGTGTCTCTAGTGCTAGGGGCGCGGTTATGCTCTATTATTGTCTAGGTACTAATAAGTATCGCTTTAGCAAATAAGCTGTTATTATTTCGCTTAATAAGTCCCTTCCTATACACCTCGTACTATAGTTAGTAATAGAATGCGTTAATTGTTACGTATTACGCGTAGTATATAGGCTGTGTGTAATTCTAGTGTGCTTCTAAGTATGTGCTTCTATAGCCGCTTAGTGCCGCTAGTTAATTAGATCCCCGGACGCTACTGTTCGTTTTCTCTACCTTATATAGTAACTAGTTATCGGAATAATCGTTCTAGGGAGAGTCTAAGCAATAGAGGGCGTTAACGTAAAAGGGCTATCGTAGCTTCTCGAAGAGTGCTTACGCTCGATACATGTTATCGCCCTATGTATCTATCCTTGCCGTATATATTATAGTGCCTATAAGAGCATACGGTACAATAAGTATAGTACTAGTCTCGCTAGTCTCGCTAGTCTCGCTAGTCTCGCTAGTAACTTCTCGCTAGTAACTTCTCGCTAGTAACTTCTCGCTAGTAACTTCTCGCTAGTAACTTCTCGCTAGTATTAGTAACTTCTCGCTAGTGTTAGTGACTTCTGTTAGAGCTAAAGAGGCTATACGTGATTAGCATGTAATTAGGCCGAGTAAAGCTAGGGTCTTAGTGCCTTAGGCAGGGCTTAGCGCTTAGCGTTAGGCTAACTCTCCCGCCTTCCTCCCTCTCTTTCTAAATCCTTATCGAATACTACCTATACCCACTACTACCCTATCTACCTGCTAATATAACCCTTCTT